AGAGCACTTGCCTAGCACGTGGAAGGCCCTGGGTTTGAATCTCAACACCATATAAAAATCAATCAATAAAATAAAGGTATTGTATCCTACTACAACTAAAAAATAAATATTAAAAATTTTTCAAAAAAATCAGTGAAACAAAAAGTTGGTTTTCCAAAAAAACAAACAAACAAACAAAAAAACCAAAATTGATAAACCCTCAGCCAAGCCAATGAAGAAAACGATTTTGAGAGAAAACCCAAAGTACTAAAATTCATGATTAAAAAGCAAATACCACCATGGACACCACTGAAATACAGATGATAATCAGAAGCTACTTTGAAAATTTATACTCCAATAAAATAGAAAAATCTTAAAGACATCAACAAATATCTAGAGACATATGACTATCCAAATTGAATCAAGAGGATATAGATAATTTAAACAGATCAATTTCAAGCAATGAAATTGAAGACACCATCAGAAGCCTACCAACAAAGAAAAGCCCAGGACCAGACGGATTCTCAGCCAAGTTTTACAAGACTTTCAAAGAAGAACTTAAACCAATACTCCTCAAATATTCCATAAAACAGAAAAGGAGGCAACCCTTCCAAATTCTGTGAAGCTAGTGTCACCTGGATACCAAAGCTACATCAAGGAAGGAAAACTTCAGACCAATATCCCTGATGAACACTGACACAAAAATTCTCAATAAAATACTGGCAAAATGCATGCAAAAACATACCAAAAAGATAGTGCACCATGAAAAAGTGGGGTTCATTCTAGGAATGCAAGGTTGGTTCAAATATGGAAATCAATAAATATAATTCACCACATCAACAGACTTAAATTTTATTTTGAGACAGGATTCTCAATAAATTGTGGAAGCTGGCCTTTAACTTGTGATTCTTCTGACTTAGCCTCCTGAGTAGCTGGGATTATAGACATGCACACCATACCTTGATCTGTGTTGATGTTACAATTTAATTCTCAGTTGTAGGTCTAATTTCCCTTATTTCTAAGATTTTAGAGGTGGGAGTAGAGGAATAATTAATCTTTGATTCTCCATTTACTTCCAGCAAACTCAAGATGAAAGAGAAAAAGAAAAAACTGATATTAATGAGACAAATTGTAATACTGCAGATGCAAAGTGTACAGTCTGAAATTTGAGAAAGTGTGTTTATTAAATTAGATTTCTATAAAGAAGAAAACAAATTCAGCATAGCCATTGTGACTGTCATTAAAATCACATGGGAAAAGGACTGAGAGATATCAAGAGTAGTGGTCACATCATGATTCATCTTACTATAATATCAATAATTTCAGTTAAATCAATAAACTCAGTGAAAGTGTCTGCTAGATTACTTCTCTGTTTTATTTTTTATTTTTTAAACACTTACAGATCAGAAATGCTGTCACCTTTAGCTTTGCAAAAGACTTTCACCAAGGCTTTCATAGCACGGCTTTCTGTTTTATACTGCTTCAAAGTTAAATCATTTACCTGTTTGACTCAAGTCTTTTTTTTAAAAAAAATTTATTTTTTAGTTGAACACAATAGTTTTGTTTATTTTTATGTGGTGCTGAGGATTGAACCCAGGACCTTGAACATGCTAGGCAAGTGCTCTACCCCTAAGCCACAACCCCAACTCTGACTCAAGTTTTTTAAGAATATTCCTCTTATTGTCCTTTAAAAAACACTCAAACACTACTCCCAAGTGGGAACTGATATCATCAGTGGTGATAATCAAAGACTTTCTATAAAAACCTTATGTTCATCTTTGTAATTTTTCCTCCCACCTTTGCAGCAAAAATAGTCTCAGGCCAGGTCAGATGCAAATCAAGTCTGAATCCTTCACTGAGTTTCTGAAGATCCAAACTTCTAAGAAGCATCTTGGAGGGCTTCAGTTCACTACATTAATGAATGCCCTAAAAGTACAAGTTCTGTGGGTGGAACACAGTATAGTGTAGTAGTAAGAAAACACCACTACTGATAGTTGAATATTGGATATCTCAGAAGATATGAGCTAAGCACTTACCTGAAAATAAAGGTTTTATGTATTTCATCCCAGAGAAACATCACCTAAGAATAAAACAAAAACTGCTTGTCAGTTAGTCAAGGGCCTGTTGATATTATAATAATGCCTACCATTCATAAAAAATGTATTGTGTGCTGGACAGCTTACTAAGTGCTTTACGCAGATCATTATGTTTTTCATTAAACCTGGGACTAAGAGGAGGTTATTATTATTTTTCACAGATAAAAATACTGAAGTTCAAGAGTTAGGTCACAGGCTGGGGATGTGGCTCAAGTGGTAACACGCTTGCCTGGCATGCGCGGGGCGCTGGGTTCAATCCTCAGTACCACATAAAAATAAAATAAAGATGTTGTGTCCACCGAAAACTAAAAAATAAATATTAAAAAAAATTCTCTCTTTCTCTCTCTCTGTCTCTCTCTCTTAAAAAAAAAAGAGTTAGGTCACTTGCTCAGGGTCATATGATGAGAATGTGCTAGAGTTAGAATTTGAATCCCTGCTTGACTGTTCTTGACACTATTCTAGATCATCTCTTAAAAAGTTGGCCACAAATGAAAAGATTCTGAAGGGGTTTCTAGGACTGTAACTGAGAACTAGTCAATTTAATTTAATTTAATTTAATTAATTTAATTAATTTATTTATTTTGGTACTGGGTATTGAACTCAGGGCACTCAGCAACTGAGCCACATCCCCAGCTCTATTTTGTAATTTATTTAAAGACAGGGTCTCACTGAGCTGCTAAGCAACTCGCCATTGCTGAGGCTGGATTTGAACTCGTGATTCTCCTGTCTCAGCCTCGTGAGCCGCTGGGATTATAGGCGTGCACCAATGCTCACCACCTACTCCAATGTTTTTTTGTTTTGTTTTAATCTTCATGAAGCCTTAGGAGTTGTAAAGTGTGATATGAGAAAAAGGGTTTGGAAGTCAGAACTTAAAGTACTAGAAAAGCTATTGTTGAAGTTGCACTGGTATGCATTTTGTGACCTGGAGTTTTGTGTAAGATTATTTATTTATTTATCTTGGTACTGGGGATTGAACCCAGGGATGCTTTACCACTGAGCTACATCCTAGCTCCTTTTTTATTTTGATACAGAATCTCACTAAATTTCCTAAAGCCTCATTAGGTTACTGAGGTTGGCCTGAAACTTGCAATTCTTTTGCTTCAGCTTCCTGAATCCCCAGGATTACAGGCATGTGCCACCATGCCTGGCTTGTGTAAAATTTTATCTGAATAAATGCTTTTGCTTATTTAAAAACACAAAACCTTGGTAACAACTGGGGAATTAAAAAAAAATCTCAAGGTCTAACATGCATTCTAAACTAATTAAATCAAATTTCGTGGGTTCATCGATGTTTTTAGTCATTAGCATTTTTTGGTACCACACGATTCCAATGTGTAGTGAAGCTGAGAACCACTGCACCAATCTAATCTGCACTTCTTCATCTGAAATAAAAGCAAACTAAAGGCCAAAGAATTTAAAGGCTATTAGGATTAGGACTAGAAATTATATATATATATATATATTATTAGAGAGAAAGAGAGGACACACACATCTGAATCAAAATTATGTTACCTCACTTTTATAGAGCTCTCTGAACTTTTAAAGAATATTTCATACATTCTCTCTTTAGACTCTTACAAAGACACTGAAGAGTGGACAGAGCAAAATTTATTAGATCTAGTTTAGAAATGATGAAATCAGAGGTCTATTAAGTTAATTTATGACTTAGAGACAGGACCAGAATTAAAATTTTTGTCTCCTAACTTTGTGTTTAGTGTTATAAGACATTCATTCTCTCAACCAGTGTACAGTGTTCTTGGGAAGATAGAAACAACTAAAATATTGTGCTGTCTGGCTTATAGCAAGTTGAAAACCAGAAGTGACTGACTTCAAGTACTAAGTTCTATTCTGTAGCTTCTTGTAATTTCTTTCTGACTATGGCTAGTAATTTTATGAAACCCAAGGGATTTGTATATAGCTATTATATCTCTAGGTAAGGCCATGTGGCTGAAAAGAATCCTGGGTCAAGGGTAGAGGAGGAAGAAGAAAGATACAATTTCACTGAGGTTCATTTCATATTCTTCAAAGTAGACTTAGCAGAACACTGGGAGATTCCAACATAGAGAACTAAATGGGTAATTTACAAAAGGATATTCACAGAAATAATTATTTCCTTTTCACACTATTTTAATAACTGAGCAGTTCACAATATGACTACTGAACACCAAAGTGACATGTAGGAAATATTCGTATGTATAATTCAAAGCAGTGGAGAAGATTACAGATGGACAAGAATGTTCAAAGACAACTTTTTATGAGGAATATATCAGATACTGCAAAATATTGCCATCAAGATTTTATTATAGAAGATAATGAGAGGCTGGTGTTGTAGTTCAGTGGTAGAGCACTTGCCTCGCATGTGTGAGGTACTGGGTTCGATTCTCAGCACCACATAAAAATAAATAAAATTAAGATCCATTGACAACTAAAAAAATTTTTTTTAAAGATAATGAGAGAACCAGGAAATTGGGTTTTAATTGTGGACTAAAAAAGTTAGCTAGAAATAGTCTAGCATAGTTTTTCTCAAACTTTAGCAGTCATCAGAATTATCTGGAAGGCTGGGTCCCACCCCTGAATTTCAAATTCAGCAAGTCTGTTGTGGGATCTCAGAACTGGCATTTCTTAGGGATTTGGGTGATGTTGCTACTGTTGGTTCAGGGCACATATTTGGAGAACCACTGGTTTAGCATAAGGTTCACAACATACCACAAGGAGGTATGCATACATGCATACACATGTTGCAAATTATGACAATTTACTTATCTCTTTATTATTAACTATATAAACTATACTCTCTGCACCAAAAAAAATGTCCACAAATAAGAATACATCAGGAAGAAGTTAAAAGGGTAGCAACATAAGGAATTAGTCTGGGGCACAAATAAATAAGTTTGTGAAATAAGTATGTTTGTGAGTGTTTGCAGGGACAACGGTAACATGTTAACAAGTAGGAAACAACATTGTCTTCTGAGAGCCTAATTTCCTATGTTAAGGCAGATGTGAGTTTTATTTCTTGTATTTGAGAAAAATCCCTTTGAACCTCTCTATACCTTAAATGTTACCCAAGGTTCCATCTTCATTCTTTTTTTTCTCACTGCTCACTTTCCCTGATTTTTCTTAATTGCCCCTGGCTTCATTTACTATTTATACCAATGGTTATTAACTTTGTTCAGGTTAAGAAACTCCTTTCAGAATTTGATTAATGCTAATGATTTCTTCTTCAGAAAAAATATACATATAGGCCTGAAGGTATAGCTCAGTTGGTAGAGTGCTTGCATATAGCATGCATAAGGCCCCGAGTTCAACTCCCAGCATCACAAAAATAAATAAGAAAAATATATGTACATGCTTATACAAATACATTTTACACTTTATTCAAGACATTCAGAGTCTGCCTTTCAAGTCCATAGGCCTCAGTTTAAGAAGTCCCTATGTGTATACTAATGATTTAGTAATCTGTGTCTTCAGCCTAAATTTTTGTCCTGAGCTTCAGTACTACATATCCAAACATCTATTTCACATCTGTATTTGGATGTCACACAAATGCTTCAAAGTACACATGCCCTGGAGTGTGATCACTTAATGGGTGTGGAATTTCCTTTTAGGTGATGAAAATACTCTGTGACTAGGTAGTGGTGATGGAAGTACAATACTGTGCATGTACTTAATGTCACCGAATTGTATACTTTTGAATGGTTTAAACTGAAAATTTTCTATAATGTGTTTGCTACCACATTTAAAAAACGACATGTACAAAACTGAAATCTTTATTTCTATTCACCACTTCTCACATACACCAAATATTTATTTCTTTTATTTCCCGTCTTTGGACATCAGTTACTAGTGTTACCTTGTGCCTACTTGCCAAAACTAAAAATCTGAGAGTTATCTTTTACAATGCTCTTTTTTATTTTCCCTAACTAGTAATTAATCATAAAAGTTCTATACATTCTCTTCACTAATAAAGAGTTAACTTGGAATAATCGTCCACTTATCTCTATCCCCATGGTTTTTTCCTAAATTTAGTCTACCATGGTTGGTAGCTTCCTAGTCTACAATCTTATACCCTACTGTCCTCTACCCCCAAGCCCACTTAATTTGACTCTTCATTGTCTACACAGAGTTATCTTTCAAAAATGATATCTTTTTTGGGGGGAGGGTAGTACTGGATAGAGATCAAACCCAGATGTGCTAGGCAAGTGCTTTACCACTGAGGCTATATTCTTAGGCCCCAAAGCATTACCTTTTGCCATTCTTTTTGCATAAAAACTGACCATTATCTTCAAGATAAAGTCTACATTCCTCTTCATGACCTGGTATCTGCTTACTTTTCTAGTCTTATTTCTCACCATCCTCCTGCCCTGAATCAACTCTCCCAATATAAAGTACCTGTAATTCTCTGATACAAAGTACCTGCAATTCCCAGCACATCACCAACTTTTTATTCCAAAATGCACATACTACTTCAGATACCCAGAACTCTATTTCTTGCAATTTATACCTAGCTAAGTTCTATTGGGTAAGATTCAGTTTATATTCATGATGAATGTAACTTCCTTAGGAATTCTTCTCAGAGGAGAAAGGTTAGGGCATTTATTTTCCATGAGCTCCATAACACCTTCTATGTTCACCTTTATCTTAACAATTATATATTAATTGAAATTATCTCTCCCCTTAATTAGATCACATTTTCTCCAAGGGTAGGAAACTACATACCAACATATCCCCAGCATATGGTATGTTCAGCATATGGTATGTTCCAAATAAATATTTTTGAACAAATGAACAGTTGATTCCCTAGTGAGTGATAGGAATTCTGATGTTAGAAGTCACACAGTTCTGAAGGTCTTCCCAATGACTTCTTAACTTATTCCCATTAAAAACCAAAGTCATTATAATGGATTACAGAGCCCTATAGTTTCTGACTTGATCCCCTATTACCTTCCCCTTCACTCACTTCCAGCCACACTGAGCCTTGCTCTGGAATGCTGACTTCTACTGACCATATCACTCAACTCCTTTCCCCCTAGACTTCTTGTATGGTTTCTGCCTAAGGGAGGCACTAGCTGGAAAGTAGAGGTCAAGAGGAGAAAGGTTAGGGCATTTATTCCTCGACTTATTCTCTGCCTTCTCCAAGTTTTTTCAGTGGTTAGTAAGTACTTATGAGCATAAGTACTTCTGTCAGGCAGTCTCTTCCAGATTTGAACTCTAACTGAGCTCTGACAACAAAATCCTCTCTCTTTTCCCCTTCAGGTCTGGGAGTATGACTGACTCACCACTATTGATAGTCACTGTGTATTTCACCATTCCTTGTTAATCCCTTTAACACTGATAAGACCCCTTGGTTAAACTCTCTTCAGTTAAACCCTTTTGAAGATACCAACCATTTTTCAGACAAGACTCTGATACATTAGAAAACAACAATGGCCTCTCCTTTGAACTTCCATTCAATTTTTAATATCTGTAAAAGTTGCTTCCTTTCCTCTAATCTAAAGCTTCCCTTCCTTCCAAGTCTAACTGGTTTTTAAAGTCTCTCTAAACACTCCACTACTACACAGCAATATTGTTGTGACTACAGTTGTGCTGAATCTAGAATGACATTAGCACTCTGTTGTCCTCCTAGCTCTGTGACTGTTTAGCTTTGTGGGTCTCAGCTTTATAGGTCTGGTAATTCCAGCAGGCAATAACCTCATCAGGGCTAGGAAACTTCAGCAATTAGGATTTCAGAGGACAAACATAATTTAGTTGGAAAGAACTTTAGAGGTTACCTTGTTTATCCTCCTCATTTTACAGATGAGGAGATTCAGGTTTATACAGAGGAAAAAAATCTTTCTCACACAGCTATATAGTGACCTAGTTAAGTCTAGAATCAAGATTTTTTTTACTGGGCTGAGGCTATAGCTCAGTGGCAGAGCACTTGCCCAGCAGGTGTGAGGCACTGTGTTTAAACTTTAGCACCACATAAAGATAAATAAAATAAAAGTATTCTCTCCATCTACAACTACAAAAAATTTTTTTTAAAAAAAGATTATTTCTACTGCTTCATCATGCTGGTGATTCGGCACTGGGTACTTAGTTGGCACCTAGTATGCTGATACCTACTAGGGAGTCTTTGCCTCTTGTTCAATGTGACACCCTGTGCCTAGAAGAATACCTAACACATAGTAAGAGCTCAACAAATTTGGATTTGTTGAGCTCTTAATTGGATTTGTTGAGCTCTTATTTCAGTTCCTAGGAACTGAAATAGGATTTCAGTTCCTATTAGGAACTCAAAGTTTGAACCTGAGACCCAACAAGACAAATTCCTTAAAATTAATCAGAATGTTATAATTTATAACAACAATCCATAAACATGTAAAGAAAATGTATAGTTTCCAAAATCCTTTTACATATGTGTCTATTTCATTCCTCTGAGGTAGCCATGGCAGGAATTATTAGTCCAAGTTAACAAAGGCAGGGCACTGAGAAGTTAAAGGTCAAAGTCTCCTACTATGTAGCAGAGCAGAGACCAGTATTAATGTCTTCTGTCTCCTGCTTTAATACCATCTCTGCTATTCTATGTTGCTTCTCTTCTGAGCACAGGAGGATCATTCAGGGAGTTAGTTATAATGAGTATGTGGGTCACACATATATGTGGAAAGAAGTGATTTTGTCTTATAAATCCATGATTATAGGTGCTTCTGATTAGATAGTCTGCAGCCTACTTTAATAGATGTTGATGGATCTTTATTTTTTTCATTTATTTATATGTGGTACTGAGACTTGAAGCCAGTACCTTGCACATGCTAGACAAGAGCTCTACCACTGAGCCACAACCCCAGCCCTGCAGCCTACTTTTAATACTTGGAGATGTTATTTCTTGAGGGGAGGGTTACCACTGGAATGAAGGAGACTACTTTTGAGATATCACTTTCAGTACAGAACAGAATTAGGCCCTTTCATAACCAGGTGTCCTTGGCCTGGCCCTATCAGTGGGGGAGGAAAGGAGTGAGAGGGAGGGTGAGCATGTGAGGGCTGGCAAATTGGGTCTCTTCATGATCAAATGAGCCACAGAGCTAGCTAGCTTCTGATATTTTGCTTGAATTCTCTTACCAAAACTACTTTGGTACAAATTTCACCCTGGGTTCTAGGTTTTAGAATGATCTCTGATACTAATCAGAGCACTCCAGGAGCCAAAGCCAACCTAAACATATTATCTAGCCTTTGGATTTCAGTTCCTATTAGGAACTCAAAGTAAGAAAATGACTCAAAGTTCTACATCAGGAATTGCAAATTCAAATGTCTACTAGATGCCAGCAAAGTAACATAAAGCCCAGCATAAGAAAACAAGGAGAGCTGGGCATGGTGGGCACATCTGAAATCCCCATCATTTGGAAGGCCGAGACAGGAGGATTGCAAGTTTGAGGCTAGAGGGTGCAATTTAGGGAGACCCTGTCTTAAAATCCGGGATACAGCCTTTTGGTAGAGCATTCCCCGATTTCATTCCCCAGTACTGAAAAACAAAACAAAATGTGCAGTATTTGATGACTTTTAACAGTTACTTCTTAACTCCAACAACTTGCTTTGTGAAATGGGAACAAACAGATCTTTCATTAAAAAAAAAAAAAAACACATCCTGGGAATCTGCATTTTAAAAATGTGAAATTTGATTGTAAAGTTATTTACCAACACAGATCTGCAATCCTGCTACAAACCACAGGAAACCAGCCAGAACTTTACTTTTCCCAATTGAGTAAGTATCCTGTATCTTAAGAAGGGATGATAGCAAATGTGCCACTTCCATATCAAGAGTGGGCAACGTTTATGCCTTCTGAGAATCTGGATAGTGCTGGAAAAGTGGACAAACCGCCCGAGTTAACAGGGATGTGCCACAGATGGAGACTTGGGGTATCTGCTTCATGAAATAACTGGACAAATGTGTGCCTTTTGGGAGAGTTATTTAGGGAATTAAAGACCCCTTTGCTAGTTGTGTGAACAAATACATCTTTGGAAATGTATGGGAAACCAGTATATGGGAAGGAAACCATGACCGCAGGGAGTGTTGTGAGAACAGTTCTCAAGAGAGGAGGAGGAGGAACAGCTACTGGGAAGTACAGAGATGAATGTCAGGTATACAGTCTCCAAGGAATGTTGGGAGGGAATAGGCGATAACTTCTCCTTGGGCGCCCCCTTTGGGCGCCTCTTGCTTACCGTCGCAGCAAAGCCGTCGACTCCAGTGACCTCCATCTTAACGCACTCTTCTGCGCAGGTGCAACAGAGCCCTCCCGACCACGCCCCTACCCTCCACGAGCTGTCCCCGGCCACGCCCCCCCCGTTTCAGGTGCAGGTCCTGCTAGATTTTCCCGAAGGCCTCCAGCAGCTGTAGGTCAGGCTTGCATTTGAGCTCTATTTAAGTGCAGGACTCTGGGGAGAAGAAATACTCATACTCCGCCTTTGGTAGACCGTGGCATGTTGATGGGGGACAGACAAGTGAAATATAACACTGCTGTGGGGAAGGTTGGTCGTGTTCCCACGGTTTCCTTGAGATGTCAAAGACTGGGAGGCAGTGGAAAGGGCTGCTGGACACTCCAGCAAGGGGGTCAGAATGTTCAAGGGCACTAAGGAGTTCAGGTGATGTGTGTGTGTGTGTGTGTGTGTGTGTGTGTGTGTGTGTGTTTGTGGGGGGGGGGTCCTGTAAGGACAGCATTTCAGACAACTGCAGGATGATGTGTGGGGTGGTGGTGGCTGTGCTGTCCTGTAGGGCCTTGGAGTTTCAGCCTAGAGGATAACCACTGAAGAGTGTTAATAGGAAAGAGACTTAGTAGAGTGTGAAGAGGGCAGGGGAAGAACAGAGGCAGGGAATTATCACCCAAATAGCAAAGAGGGGAACTAAAAGCCACTTATAGTGTGAACTGAAGGGAGACATTGGGTTCAAGGGATAATTTTGATGCTGAAATTTTGATGCAAGAAGGTGACTGGTTTGGGAGAGGAGGAGGAAGTTTTTACATGACTTGGCACCTGAACTGTGAGGATCTATTTAGCAAGCAAATGGAAAAGGAGCTAGTTCCCCGCTCCAGGTGATGACAGTGCAGGCTGAGAGAGTAGGTGAGACATTTTTCTTGCTTCTGCTTTTTGGATCCCCATGTCAGGAAGTCTCACTTTTACCTTATTTACTCCTCCTTGCAATAGTTTTTTCAATGTAGCTCTTCCTTGAAAAGAATCTAAAGGAAAGGCAGTGTGTACTCCTAGGCCTAACCCTTTGGCCATGGCAGCCTCAGCCCTCAGCATCTTTTCCTGGTAGGATCCTGCCTTATCTCATAGCCAGGGCTAGTAATCCAAGACAAAGGAAAGAGGAAGCACTGGCACACATCATCTACTTTTCTGGACCTTTTGCAGGAAGCTGATACCTTCCTATAGATGACTTTAATACATGATTCTATTAAACTGGTTGGTGGTCTCAGGTCCAGGCCAAGATACTAGCCCACTTGTTGCTGTACTATTTGGTGCTCATTCATAACTATTTTAGGCTGTATCATTTGTGGGAACAGGAAGGGAGAATGAGTGTGAAGCCACTGGGCCAAAAGCTACCATTATATAGGATGGTTGTTTCTATAGTTTTCTACCATTCACATAATTACCAGACTCCAAAGGCTGCTATAAGATAATTTATTACAGACTAGCCTATAATTTCCTGTAACAATGGCACATACAATAATTAAAAACAGCAAAGATGCTTGGTTTCTTGTTTCACATATTGGCCAGTACAGCTGTGGACAATGCTGAATCCTCAGGAAGTTCAGGCGGTTGCTATTGAGGAAATCCAAGAGGATCATGTCACATCTCTGAGCAAGGGCCTGGGAAGTCCATCTGACCCTCTGCAAGAATTTGTCTGACCTCCCATGGAATGTTGAGGCCCTCTCCATCCAGTCTGTACAGATCAGAGTCCAAGCTCCTTCTGTAGGGTTGAACATCTATGAGGGGACCAGCAGCTGACCCTGATGACAGGGAGAAAGGCCAAAGACTAGAACTTTCTGCAAGAAGGAAGGCAGTCAGAAGACACAGTCATAGATAAGGACAGCCCTCTCTAGTTTCCACAAGTTTTGGCTTTATTCCGGGTCTACCGAGAAGAAAACCCTTCAGCTAGCTCTCAGGTATATACACAAGAGAACAACCTCCTGTGTCTTCAGGATCACTCCCCTGCCTATAGAGGTGAGGTAGGGGACTCTGGGAAGATGGCCCCTGATATGTGAGTTCCAAACAAATAGTCTTCTCAGGGCTCTGAAGCACCATGTGAACTTGTTTCTATTCATGACAGATAAAATCTGAGGGAAGAGATTAGCACAGCTCATTTCCAGAAAGTATCTTGTTCATTTTCAAAGCCTTGTTCTCATTGGAGCCAAACAAAACCAGTAGATTCTGCTCAAAAAACATTAAATTCTATTCTGTGTGCTCCTTCCCTTCCCACTCTCCAATATAAATCACACAGCTCAGCAATATCTATAGGCTAAACTGACTATCTAGCCAGCCAGGAACAAACTCCAGGTCCTCTAAACTTGTTCTTCTAATACTTGGAATGTGAGTATCTAACTGGATAAGGTGTGGTTTGGAGAAGTATAGACATGGGAAGTGGAGCAGAGGGGTATCTACCAAGAATGACTGACACTTTCTGAAATGTCTGTCCCTCTCTCTTTGTGGAAAATTTCTAAAGGGAGTAGCTCCCACAGTCCAGCTCCTAGTACCACAAACTGGCTACTCAGGAATTCATGAAGCTTTTTGTAAAAAGTCATACTCTCAATGTCCCCCAAATTTCCTTAAATATACTTAACCAAAGAGATCAGCCTCTTTACTACAAGGACCCTAGGCTGGATATACAGCTAGCCCCCACTGGCTGATTTGTGCAATAGGTGCTGCCTGGTGGACACATACACCAAGAGTGCTCAGCTGCCTTCTTCCATGGAACGGGACTCTGATTTGAGTTTCACAAACTCTCGGGCCACCTCGTCATTGCTCCTCTGAGACAGAATCCGGAGAATGGTCATGCCTGTCTCATCCATGTGGATCTTCCGGCCCAATGGGCACCAGCAGGCACAGCTGCCCTTGGCTGCCACATCCCTCAGAGGCATCACAGCCAGCCCTAGAACGCGATCCTCCCGGGCAAAGCAGTAATCCTTCACACATATCTGCAACTCATAGGCCTCTGGACCCTCTTCATTTCCCAGGAGGCTGTGAGTACAGGGTAGAAGGCAGGAGGCCAGAGCTGAGAGTCTTCAGCTGAACTCATCCCAGTTTGTCATCCAGTCCATCCCTCTTCTCCCCACCTCTGCAGTCTTACCCGCCAGGGAACCCCCATACTAGACTCCTGCAGGTTTCCCATCCCACAACTTACAAGTGAAATGTCTCATTATACTTGGGGGCCCAGTTGTTGCTCTTGGATTTGGTTGTGAATTTCCTCTTCTTATCACTTTGGTGTGGGCCAACCATGGTCACTTCCACAAAAGGCCGGAACATACCTGCTGTCTGCCACTTGAGATCACTGGCAGCCACCACTGCCCAAACAAGGGAAACCTGTGAGTGATCCCACCAAGTATTCCCAGTTCTTAAGCCCCAGGTGACATTTCCCTTGGAGGAAAGCTGAGGTGCAAGGCTGGGATGGGCAGCCTCTGCCTTCAACTGATGAGTGAAATTACTGGCAAGAAAAGTCAGACTTATAAGTTTACACTGCTCACCTTTCACTGTAACCTTGTGCTCCCCAGTACCAGGGTGTGTAAATAAGTCCACCTGAATAGAGACTTCTCCCACAGGATCATCCACACCAGATGCTGAGGAACAGACAGATGGATAATTGCCCATTGGAGAACTCTTAAGTCTTTAGGACCAATTATTCCAGGCAACACTGAGGGTTTAGGGGGCCACTACCCTATACCCTAAAGCAAGAAACAATCACCCACAGTAGCCATGGGAAAATAAGCAATGGGAGAAGGGAAAGAAAGGAGATAAAGAATTAGGAGATAAAGAATTATAATTATACATTATAACACAAGTTAAGATGACAGCATCTTAGGAGAAAAACTTTCTTAAAAAATGTACTAGGGATATCTCAGGATCCCCAAACCTCTATCTCCTAGGCTAAAGAATTTTTCATTAAAAAATGTTGGGGAGGACAGTGCCATCATCATACATTTACCCCTGTGTGTGTAAACTATGTCCACCCTATAGTGTCTCTTAATAGAACATTATGGGTCCCTTTTAGACAAAAGTAGCAACCTCCTACTTATCCCCAGGGTTTCTGGAGGACCCTACTTGGGAGGGTGCCCTCACTGAAAAGACTTTGTCTTACTTAAATCTAGGCCCCTTCACAGAACAACTCTTTATAGTCTCAATCTGAGAAGTCAATGTGAAGGTTCCTCTTAGTAGAGGCCCCACCCTATTTTGAGAAAACAACACTACTCTGCACCTCAGATAAATCCCTTCTTTGTTCTGAGGTGGAGAGGTGAGAAAATTCTGATTACAGGATGGGAGTTAATAATGGGAAGGCTGATCCTTCCTGGGCTATATGAATACATCGCTCATCTCCAAGTCTTGAGAAGCTCAACACCTGGTTCAGCTTCCCCAGCATAAGCAGCTCACAGGAGGTCAGTGTTATCTCATGTTAGATTCATATCTTCAAGATGTATAACATACCCTTTTCCGGCCGAATGTCCTCATTAGCAGTAAACCTAATACCTTTCCCATCATATACTGAGTGAAGACAGGCAAGTCAAAAGGTTGTAGCAGCAATAGGACAGAAAAAGAAGAATCGTTAGAGGCTAAAGGAGTTATGGCATTCAAAGCAGCACTACAAATACTGTGGGGAGCAAAAAAGATGGAGTAGGGTGGAAAAAGAAGTCCAAGAGCTGGGTTTCGTGTCCCAGTGTTTCACATTAGACTTCTCTGGATGGAGATCAACTGAATCATGGGCAGAAGTAGTTATAAAATATAGAGAGAAGGTATGTAAGTCCAGCAGGGTAAGAGGTTGTAGGCTCTAATTTCCTAGGCCTTTAAACAACAAAGAAATGGGTAGAAAACATACATATATACTTGTTCTCCCTGTAGGTGTATCCCCTGCCACCTCCTCTGTGCCTCTTCTAGTTTCCTCTGTTTTTAATCTAGATTACAGAACAATGGTTTTGAAAAATCTTTTTAGATAAATTCAAATCTTCCGTGATATTACAGACCTTATATAGATAATCAGTTTTGTAAAATTTCTCCCTGAACCCTTTAGCCAGGCTGATCCCTGCTTCTCTTGCTCCTTTGACTAGAAATAAGAATAAACATGAGAAAAGATATAGTATTATAGGGTGTCCGTCCCCGCAAGACACGGTATGCTTCATGAGCTCAATAAACATGCACTGGCCAGGTGATGTCTGGGGAAAGAAATTTCAGGTCCATTTCCCAGGCCCCTATGATTCTCCTGCCTTGTATAAGTATGGATTAGGGTAAATACTGAAATCCCCTCCAGAAATCCTGAGATTCAGGTTTGAAAGTCCTCTGAAGAAGAAACCCCTAAGGGCTTGAAGATCCTGACTTCCCAGAAGCAGATAAGTAAGGGAGGAAAAGGTGAAGATGCAAAGCTCTTAGGACCTTACCCTGGGCAGTCTGGGAGCGCACAAAGGTCTTGATGAGAGTGTCTGTAGTCTGTGTGTACAGGGATAGAGCATAGCGTAGAGACTGCAGATCTGGGCTCTTCTCCAGGAAGGTTTTCTTTAGTCCATTGCCTCCCGCGTGGAAGTATTGCTGAAAGATAAATGGGCACTTGATTCACCCTCTCACAGAGTGGCAGTTCCCCAGCTGTTCTCAGAGAAGCCAGGACAGTTTCTAAGATGAAGGTCCTCTTTGGGGTGTCTGGCAGGAGCAGTAGGGTAGAGCCACATTCCTGGAGGTAGTGTTTGACAGAAAGGTCTATTTGGTCAGGCACAGATATAGGAAAAAAAAAAACATTTCAGGCAGGGAGAATAGCCAAAAGTGCTTTTATCCCTCTGAATTTAGGGAACTTGATACCTTGCCTAACTGCCTTGAATCACAGTACACATGGACCTGCCTTATTACCACCTTGGCAATCTTAAGTGTCTTGAATTTAGGAACATATCTGATTCTCTTTCTTTGTATCCTTTAATGCATAGGGCCACTTATTTGAATGTGGAGTGGTAAGAACCTGAGGGACACCTAGTCTGGCAGGGTGGAATGCTAAGGCCAGGTGTGTGTGTGTGGAGGTAAGACTATCTGGAAAGGGGGAGGTCTCCACCTTGATGGTGTCCAGGGCCAGGTCGAGGACAGCACACTGCTTTGGAGTGAGATTCCGTGTTTCTTCTCGCACCATATGGTCCTGGAACCCCAGAGAAAGCAGTAATAAAGGACAGCTCAAGGAGGTCATGAAAGTCTTGGCTCAACTGCCAGCCCATGGCTGTATGTTCCACTCCTCTCCTCCCCTTCCTCTTCAATATCCAAAGCCCAGATAGCCTTCCTCCCATGGTACCCTCTCCCCAGCTTCAGGAGGACCCCACATCCCAAGAACCTTGAGTTTGGAAAGATGGCTCAGCTCCTTGGCAGCAGTGAAGATCAACTGGGTGCCCTGGGCAGAGAGGGGATCAGTCAAAAGCAGGGGACTCCAAACTCCATCAAAAAGTGGGAGTGGGAGATAGCAGGAGGAAGTGGGAGGGAGGTGTCCTTACCGTCTGGTCTGTGAGGGGTGGCAGAACAATCATTCTTTCCATTGTGTTCATCACCACCCGCCAGAGCTCCTTCAGGACACGCTTGAGTACTGTCTTCTCACACACAGTGGCAAAGAGTGTGAGGCTGCAGGTCCAGTCAACAAGTGAGGCCATGCTGAGGGTCCAGGAGTCCCCATCCCCAGGAGGCTTCTCTGTTTGATGGCCTCTGTTTTGCTTGTCCCCAAAGAACAGTCCTAAATGCTGTACTCACTTGCCATCCAGAAAGTCCATGAGAGGCCGCAACACACTATCTGCATCCTGAGCCACTGAAGCCCTGGCGTTGGGGGACGCATTTCCTGTGCCCCGAACCTGGCCCAGGATATCTGCCATTTGTCGAACACACTCATCGATCCGCACCTGGAAGCTACACATGTACCTACAGTGCAGTCCTCCCCTGCCCCCATACCTTGACCCTGGAGCAGCACCAGCTATTCGAGCTCATATGTCTATGCTCACGGCATAGCTTTAGCAGGTACAGTCAACAGGAGCAGAGGGAAGACCAACATACCTGCAGCTGGCTGAATGGGTATGGGCAGGGGCTCTGGGACTGGCCAGGGATCACACCTGGCTCCAAAAGCCATGTTTAGGATCACTGACCTGTTTCCAAACACCATGCTGAGCTCATCCAGAACTGTATTCAGTTTCACCTGCAGTTCCTTCAGACTGTCTGCAGCTTCAGGATCTAGCTGTATCCACAGAAAGTAGGTCTGGCTAGGCTCCTTCTCTTACCCTCTTCCCTTCTGAACCCTAATCCTCTCTCCCAGGACCTTACTCCAGTGCTTACTCTTCCCTCCTGGAACTTTTTCCCAATGCCTGCTCCTCCCTCCTAGGGCTATAACTCAATGCCTGTTCCTCCCTCCTCGCATCTTATCCCAATGCCTACTCCTTCCTAGAGCTTTACCTCAATGCCCTTCTCAGATCAAGCCAGCCCAGACCCCAAGCTAACCTCCTAACATATCCCTAATCAATAAATAGCATAGTCTGTGGCCAGAGAGTTCAGGAATAACGGGAAAGTACGGTGACCCCAAGCCCTAAGACCTACCTCCTTGCCTCCCATGGCTTCAAACATTTTCTCCAACTGGACCCTCAATTGCTGCATGTTGTTCATCAGGATGCAGGGCTTCGGGGACAGATAAAGTCATTGAATCTTGGCTCCTTTCAGCACAGGACCCACTAGGCTAGGGTCCTTCCCTTTAACATTGTTCCAAAGCCACAGGGACTTTACATATTACATGGGTCTTTCCCTAAGCACTAAGATTTGGAGCCAATTCAGACAATTCTCCTTGAATGAATACTAGAAGCAAATGTTTTTTCCTTTAAGTTGGATGGTATACAGCTATTCACAGTATTACCTTTTATAACTCCCTGAATGTCTTCAATTAAAAAAAGATCAAGCAAAGATCTAGCTTGGTAGAGGATAAAGCACCAAACAGGCTCAGAGGAACTCAGTCAAGTTCTTATTATCTTGTGGTATGGGTCTCAAGCAAGCTTGGGAGGGACCCAGAAATCAAGAGCATCTGAGGATAACTTCAAAAGCCAGGAAGGAATCAAATGTCCTTCATTTCCTTTCTTTAAATGCCCAGGGCCTGACCTTACCAGTTTCTCTTTTGTGCAATAATCTGGGAAGTTCTTCGATAAGATGTCTGCATATTCCATCAGCACTTTCCCGATGGTCTGAGAAAAGAGGAGGAAAGAAGAGGAGTGGGAACCCTTTGTTCTCCCTGAAAGGATCTTGCCTGAGGTTGTATTTCTCATTCCAGAACAATAAGATCAGGGAAATAAAGGGGGAATCTCACACAAAGAGGCAAAATGTCCTCTCAACCGAAGAGTAACACTGAGACAGGTCTATCTTCCCCAGACACAAGCAAATGGCAATGGGCTAATGCTAGGTTTTACCTGAGGTCCTAGCAGAGAGGGGCTGAATAACGACAGAGAGTAGGTTGTACATACAGTGTTGGTAAGGGAAAGGGGGAGAGGGTCATGGTCACCTTAGCAAATCTCCTCATGTAGTGGGCAAGGATGTTGGGGTCTGGGCATTCCAGCTTCCGGATGATCTCAAAGCTCTGATTGAGCTGCGTGAAGATGTCCACCACAGAGCAGGAAAAGAGTGCATGCTCTGATGTCTGCTGGAACTAAGGAAGGCCATACACAAGGGTCACCATCCACAGCTGCTACCTTTTCTCAAGCTTATAGGGTCTGAAAGAGCTCTGGCCAGCAGGGGTGCCTTAGTGGCCCTCCATATCCCTCTTATGGACTCTAAAGGGCAGGGACAGCCAGCCTGGTGGAAGTCCAGGAACTTCTACCAATAACTAAATGCTGGGAGACCTGACCTGGCCCTGGTGCAGGCTAGGCTTCCAACTTACCCCATCCTTCTTATCTCGTTCCAGGGCCCCACGCAGGAATTCAAGGGATACATCCTCATTCTCATCCAGCCACTGTAGCACAAACTGCTCAAACCACCTACATCCAGAGCAGGAGAATGGAGGGTTGAAGCTAGTGGTTGGCATATGCTAAATGCTTGAGAGCTCCATCAGACTGGCAAGGCATGTTTTGACACTCTTCTCTTTCTACACTAGTGCCCAGAATGAGCAGTTCCAAGACTGGCCTGCTGAAATGAATTGAGGATACCAGCCCCATCCACTCAGGGGGCCCTCTTCCCTCCCTCTGTACTGCCCACATGACTTACACTGGGTACTCAGGCACCTGCCCCTGGAGGGCAGGCAGATCCTGCACATATTCATTGTGGAGCCACTTCACCTTGAAGTGCAGGTTCATGTAGTCAGCACTCTTACACAGCCGGTCTTTCTCATGCTCTAGTGAGGGGAGGGAGGCTGGATCAGGTCTGAGCAGCAGAGGCCATGGTTCCCAAACTTTTCCAAGGTAACAGATCCTGTCAGGTGGCTCTACCAGATGTCTCAGAAGACTTGTGATTCCCAACCTCCTTCTCATAGCTATCTCTCCAACCAGTGTTCTATTCAGCTACTCTCTAAGAAATGGCCCAAATCTTCTCTAGAAATAAGCAATTTCCAGATGAAGCCTATAGTCTTCTTGTTCTAACTTTCAGAAGTGCAGGGTGAGGTCACTGGCCTCTGGTGAAGAAGAGAAAGGGCTGTAGTTGCTAATGCTGATCATTGAGGACACAGCTCAGGACTGTAGAGGGACAATGGTTTTCCAGAGTTTTTTAAAAAATATTAGTAGTTGAGCCATTCCTCCAGGCAGGCTTAAATGCAGAGATGTGAAGTTGTATATGGCATGAATGGGTTAATGACAACTACACAGATTCAGGGAAAACCAAAGTAGGAAGTATAGTCAGTTTGGAAACTATGGAAACACAGCCAGAAGCAAAGGCCATCATGTTGCAGAAAACAGACTATTATTATGGATTTGGAAGGTCATCTAGCTGAATCTCCAGAGACTTCTGGAAAATCTAGGATTCAGATCACTCAGCTGGGCTCAGAGTCCAGAGTACTGGCCAAGGTTCTCTTCATTCCCCACCCCCTAGAGAACTGAAGCATTAATTTCAATAATAAAAGCCAACTGTGTGGTGGCATAACATAATGGCAAAGGCAAGCAAATGGGGGAAATACTAAGCAACAGAGAAGAGGCTGGTGTCCTTGGGGACTATGTTGCTCAACTTTGGGATGCCACAGGTGATGTTCCTCCATGTCAAGGCAGAACATCCAATCTGGGGCTGCTGGCTCTTGTAAATTAGTATAGCAGACACTTGGGGAGGAAATGGAAGCCTGGGATTCAGCTGCAAGAGACTTTTGTTCCCAGGTCTTTCATCTCTTGGTACTATAGGCAGCACCATTCCAACCTGAAGTTGCATTTGCTGTCTCTTCTATGAAGCAGTGAGCAGGAAAAGGAAAAGGTACAAGACTAGAGGCAAAGGGACAACAACCAAAAGTTCTTACCACCAGGAAAGAGGACTTTTCGAATACGAATGACAGTGGTTGCTTGTGACAGAGCAAAGACACCAATGAGCAACAAAGAGTGGAAAACTCAGGGACATAATAGAGACCCCTCTTCTCCACCCCAGCCCCTCTGTCCTTGAACCAGTTCTAAACCTAGAAACTTGAAAAGGCAGCACCAGTAGCCCCTTCCTCCATCCTGTAACAACTCACTGGAAGTGGGGGCAGGGCTGTTCCTAATTCTTCCTTCCAGCCACCTAAAAGTTACTATATTTACATATAATTCTTACTTTCTCTGTCAATCCATTATCTGTTCTCTGGATCCCAATTTCTATAATAAACATTATTAATAATAATAAATAATAATAATAATAAACATTAACTTCTGTGGTATAAACACTAACGGATGAGTGTTAAAACATGTTCAACATTCTAACAAGGTCCAAGGAAAAAGTTGCTTGAGGTTGCTGTTGCTGCTGCTGGTGGGGTTAATCTGCCAGAAGGGGTAATCTTGTTTGCATAACCTTCTTGCCCTGACTTCTGCTGTGCTCCTTCCATTTTTCATCCTTAGAAAGTTTTTTCAAGCTTATGATTTTAACTATCTAGTCTGATGATATATCCTCAAATCTCTCTTTGGTTCTGATAATTTTTAGGAAAGGTTTTGATGCAACGTTTCATTGTGCATAATCTAACTTTAGTCTCCATCTCTCACTATCTTAACATCTCCAGGTGAAGTTGGACACAGTATACCAATCAATCTTACCCTCTTGTCCAATGCTGAGTATTATCCTAAATTTTTTCTTCTTCCTCTATACTCACATCCAGTTAAATCACCAACCCCTGATGATTTTACCTCCAAAATGTCTCCATTTCCTTCAAGTCATATTATTACCTGCCTAGGTCTCATCACCACCACTTGGATTACTACGACAGCCTCATTCCCCTTCAGGGTACTCTCCATAGTGTAGCCATAGTGAGTGGCCTTTCCATGATAAATCTGATCATGCCAGTGGTTCCCATCTGCCTCAGGATGAAGTCCAGAAGCCTAAACATGGCTTACAATCTCTTATGATTTAATTCTGTCGTATCTCTCCATCCTCATCTCTCACTGATCTGTCTACTCTCTGAAATGCTAATCAAACTGAACTACTATTTCCATAAATTTATCAAATTGCATTCTTAAAGTACATTTACTCGATTATATATAAATTATACGCCAATAAAGTCTATTTAGAAAATACTTGGTAAAGGACAGAATCTTAAATTGTCATTTCACAATCATCATCAATGCTGTCCTTTTATTATCCAGGTGTCTCTCCTTCATTTGCCATCCATATTCTAGGAATCACTAGGTCTAGCAATCACTTCTTTTAATGTCTACTGAAGGCCATTTTTCCCTTTCCATTCCTCTGCTCTAATCCCAGGGCCAGCCCTTCATCCCTAAATTGTTACAATAGCCCTTCACTATCTATGTTCTCTGCTTCCACTTCTCCCTGTTCCAGCTGCTCTGTTTTACAGGAGTAAAATCTTGTTAAAATTCTACTTTGTGTGGGGTGGATCATGCTGTAATCCTAGGAACTTGGGAGGCTGTGGTAAGAAGAACACAGTTTGAAGTCAGCCTCATTAACTTAGTGAGAAACTGTCTTAAAATAAAAAATAAAAATAGTTGGGGGTGTGGCTCAGTGGTATAGAGCACCCGGTTTCAATCCTCAGTACTGCAAAAAGAAAAAACAAATCTGTTCATTGATCTTTGCCTATAATGATTTCTTATTGTTTTTAATTTTAATATTTTTTCAGTTGTAGATGCACACAATGCCTTTATTTTTGATTTGTTTAGTTTTGTATGGTGCTGAGGATTGAACCCAGTGACTTTCATATGTAAGGCAAGCATTCAACCACTGAGATATACCTCCAGCCCCCTCTTATTGTTTTTAATGGCTTATTTAGTGCTAAGTGCCAGGCAATATGCTAACTATATCCTATATACCTCAGTTGTTTCATCAGCTCAATGAAATCCATGCCATCATCACTCCCATTTTGCAGATCAGAAAAGGGGAGCTCATAGAAATTAAGCAGCTCTGTCCAAGGTCACACTGCTAAATAAGTAGTGTGAGACTTGAAACCAATACAGTTGTTCATTTTCTTAAAGCAGTTTTTAACTTCTTTTGTGGTTTGTTTGTTTTTTATAGTACCAGGGATTGAACGCAGGACTTCATACATGCTAGGTAAGTACTCTACCACTGAGTTACCTACCTAGCCCTTTTTAAAATTTTTATTTTGAGATACAGTCTCACTAAATTCCCCAGGCTGCCCTCAAACTTTGTTATCCTCTTGCCTCAGGTGCCCAAGTTGCTGGGATTACAGGCATGCTCCACAGTGCCTAGCTGGTGCTTGTTTTAAACATTAGCAGAACTCCCTTTGAAAAGATATCTCACCTAGAACCCTATATATGATTGATAAAAGAAAGTTGATTGCTGGCACCAGGAAAATGCTTAGAGCCCAGCCCCTGGGTTTCCCCTTTTAAATTAACTTAGCTCTTCAGATATTATGGTCTGAAAAACTCTTCTCCATCATGTACTACCCCTTACTTATGGAAATGATTTATTTTTCATGGTTATTTATGTTTTCCCCCAAACCCACTGGAGCTGGAGTTCTTCAAGAACTGGAACCAAATGCATCAAGTTTGGTGAATGTTGCCTGAAAGAGGACTGGTGATCTTCTCCCTAGACTGAGAGGTGAATGTGCTATAGCCTTGAGACAGACCCAGTGTGGGCAGGATGCATCCCCTGCTCTGGGGCTGAATTAGAGAATGCATGTGTGTAGTCTGTGGTTTTCACAAATTTAGCATAGATCTTCAAGGTTTCTTTCAACCTCAAAATTAATTGCTTCTAAACCTCATTAAGTTTTGAGAGTATGAGTTTTAGCCATTTCCTCTGCAAGCCACCCAAATAACAGATCTAGACTCTACTATGTGCTTGCCCCAGGTCCTCCTCCTCCTAGATCTACTTTAGGGAGCTAGACTAACCTATACAGACAGACAGGAAAGACAGCTAAATAGGTGAGCACAGATGGGTACAGGTGGGAAGATGACACAGGTAGGGAATGGTATCTTTGTGGACCAAGGTGGGAATTGAAAAAAAGAATAAGCTAAATGAATGAGATGAATAATAACATCTGTGGCCCTACTCTATAGAAGTAATAAGGAAAGAACTGGCTTTGTCACATTATTCCAGAGCAGCTTTCTAGGAAAGTCAGGGCAGTCAGTGCCCAGTATGAGAAAATAACAGCATCTAGCTATGTATTTAAAGTTCTCTGATTGTTTAAAATGGTAAGGATAAGTTTCACAAGACCATTCTCTTGGAAGCTAACTTGCCTAGTTGGATAAGGAAAAGGTTTGCTTGGGAAGAGGAATCCACCTTTCTGGGAATTCCCACCATGGGATGAGTTGATCTCAGTGTATCCTACACCTACAGGGACCTCTATTATGTTTCCACACAGAGCCATTTTCATTATTTCCTTTGGCTTTAGCTCTGCCCACCCAAAGTCTCCTAAGGTCCACCTCCTACCATGGCTAGAATCCCTCTAGTCTCATTGCACCATTTACCCAGAACTTATAGTGGCCCAGGAGAGGAATGGACAGCTTACAAGGTGCTTGGGCTAGGAGCCTAAAACCCACTGACTTGGGCAGACCCTTACCCTCTAATGCGTATTTCATGTCTTGGGCAAACAGATGCCACATCACTTCTGCGCTGACTTTTCCCACATTCAATTCCTGAGGAAACCTGAATAACAGAAGAAATTATAATCAGAGAACAGGGCAAGAGTTATTTGATGTGATTAATTCCAAGATGCCTACTACTTGGGAGTTCATACTGAAGAGAGGAGAAGCCAAGGGAACGGAGCTAGTTTCATATGGAGAAAAGAAATCCAGGGACTGATAAGAAAAGTAAGGGCAAAGGGGATCCCCTGAGGCAAGGAGGGTCCAGGGGAGAAAATGCCCCAAAAGAAAGGAATTGAGACCCAAAGGAGGGTTGAGGGTGAAGGCAAGTCTAAGCTAAATAAGGTGGAGGAGAAAAGGCAAGGGGGTGGGCTCTATGAAGTCCCACTTTAATCACAATGGACAGAAACATACACACATGGTCTCTGGATCCCCTAGGGCTCCCAGTAGCCTCTCACTCCAGGGAGGCTGGCTCAGTCTGGGCAGAGCCCCCCATTATGTTTCCACACCTGTCTCCAGAAACAGTTACCCAGACAGATACAAGGGACAGAGGGACAGACTGACGGACAGGAGGAAGAGATGGCACTGTAAACATACAGAGATAGGAAAGAAAGAAGCTGTTAGACAGATGGACAGAGCAATCACCAACCAGACAGGGTCATGTAGGGTAATACTCACTGGTTCAGAACAGGTGTATAGGAATTTTTATCTTCCTCTATGATTGACACAATGAGTGTGATGAGTTTGGGCCAAAAATCCAGGTTCCGAATGCTGGGACCTTGTTCCTCTAGAGGTAGCTCCTGCTTCTTGTTCCAGAGTAGACAGTGAGAGACAAAAGAATTGGAGAGTATCTTAAATCTTTCTCTTTTTATTCCCCATCCCACGCCCCTTCCTCTAGATCAGGGACCCTTCCTTGAGCCTGTGTTCCATAAGACTGTCTCTGTTCCATGAAAGGAGTGACTACTAGGAGGCCCTTTTTCTCTTGAAAAGGTCACTTCCCAGGCCCAGGGTACTGCTCTGACAAGCTTGGTCAGTCCAGGAGACATGAAGGTCCCCTTCCTTCTCCTTCTCATTTGCTCCAGTAGATGACTCCCTGGATGAAGTGAGCTCCTCTCTAGTTTCCCTAAGTAGGTATAGTTCTGCAGACACCCTCTTCTAGTGGTATCCCTTCTCTGAGCACCCATTCCCCACCCTGCCACACACACATATCTCAGCTCTGAGAAGCTCCTTCTAATTCTATGTGAACTACTAGCCAGACCTTGTATGCTTTTTGGTCTAATTTTCAGGAGGGTAGTCTTCTATTGACTCACTAAAGGTCATTGGGGAGAAGACCTGCATCTAAAAAGCTAACTGCCTAACTGGATAAGAAAAAGTTTGCTTGAAAAGAGACAAGGGAAGAGTAGATCTCAGGAAAAGAGGGGCCACTTCACATTCAGACCCCAGAAGGGACAAGTAGGAGTTTCTATAGAGATATTGGAGTGGATGTTATTTCTCAATGGGACAAAGGCAAAGGTGAAGCTGCCCAGAATGGCAAGAATCGGGCTTTTATGTGATGTCATGTCACTGCAAAGTCTCTAACAGTCCTTAATAAACCTGGATCACTAAGAAGTTACCGGAAACCAAAACAGAATCTAAATCCTATTGATTCTACCTCATTAAAATCACTTATATACATTTCTTCCTTTAACTTTTTCTGAAACAATCCTGGCTGGCTATTATCATTCAAGGATCTCCTGACTGGTCTTTAAACTTTACTCCAATACCTTCTCTAGGTATTTAGTGATCTTACTATAAGGGAAATCTCAGTGTTATTTCTCTGCTTAAAGTCTTTTAAAGGCCTTCAATTATGTTTAAACACCTTAGCTTGACACAAATGTTCTTCAGAATATGACCTCTCTCAACCTCATGTCTTATCACTTCTCTTTCCTGTTGAAGCCAGCACCACACCATGATCACTATGTCCTTAGTACCAGGCACTCTAAGAACTTTACACATTATTATCTTGTTTGATTCTCAGAATAACTCCATTGAGTAGAATTATTTTCACCTTCATTTTCAGATAATGAAACTGGGGGACAGCAAGGTTCTTTGACTTGCTCAAGGTCATATAACTGTAAATAGCAGAACCAAGATTCCTACATAGCTGAATTCCAAAGCCTGATGCTGTAACTATCCTAATTAAATTGCTTTTATTTTCTTAAATTAGCATACTCATGTACAATTTTGTGCTACCAAACATTCTATTTTCTTCACATGTATCCTCTCCTCATTCCTTCCAGACCCTTTTTGAAGCTAAGTCTTACTCCTTCCTTAAAACCCAGGTTGAACTTTACTTCTGTGAAATGTTCCCTGACACCCCTAGTCTGGTTAAGATACTACTCCTCTGGGGTCCCAGAGCACTTTCTGTGAAACTCTAGTACAGACCTATCAGAGAACTACAACTACAATAAAATATAATAAAAATAAAAAGAACAATAAATGTAGCAATTTGCTTCCATCTCCAGTAAACAACAAACTCCCTTAAGGCAGAGATGTGTCTTACTCAACTTTACATCTCTAATTGCCTGTTTGTTAAATGAATGGATTGATGATTGAACCAATGACTGAAGGTCAGTAATGGAAATATTAACAATATCAAATTTTTTCCTCTAGTGTAAATATTGAACAATAAGAAAATTAGAATGAGAAAAAGAAAAAGGCAGATAGCAAAATAAAAAAGACTAAAGCAATTATTTGTATAATTTTCAGGCCCTCTTCAAAGTCTACAGTTTATTCTCAGGCTGGAGCACAGGGACCAAATATTCAAATCAATATCTGCATAGTTGAAAGATCAAAAGTGATGATGGTGTTCCCCCCAACACATGAGAGAATTCATAGATGGTTAACAGAGGAACCCAGAATATAGCAAGCAAAACAAGGACCCCAGAAAAACCTCCCATAGCTGTCAGAACCAATTTTTATAAACCTTAAAAGAAGGAAGCTTTAAATATATGACTGCTTCCAAAAGCACATTTGGGAATGAGAGGAAGCAGCAAGATCTTAGTCTTTACTAAGGTTCTCCTAGGAAGCATTAAAAATAAAGTTAAAGGATAAATGCTCAATAAATTTAGATCAATGGAGTCCTATTATTTGGTCCTATTACCTTTCAAAGTCTATCTCAAATGCCCCTTGTTTTATGTAGCTTTCCCTCATATCTGATCAAGAGTGACTTCCTCCTTGGAATCCTTTCATCCTATCTCTTTATTTATTTTTTATTGGTTGTTCAAAACCTTACAAAGCTCTTGACATATCATATTTCAAACATTAGTTTCAAGTGAGTTATGAACTCCCATTTTTACCCCAAATAAGAGACCCTTCTAACAGACTACTTTGATTACAGTTACATATATGCTCATAAGACTGAACTTACTAAAGGAGTACTGTGCTTTCCTCAGACCTGGTCTAGGACAGACAAACAACATATTATTTGTTAAACTGAAGGAAAGCTACTCTGTACGGCTATCAAGATATTACTAAGACAGAAACGGTAACTGAGTAATTGGATCTAGAAGGAAGTCTAGGTTTTTAAATGGGGGCCAAGGGGTCTGGGGAAATATATGTAAAATTTGAAGGATCTAGAAATAGATAGTGTCATCAGGCACTGATTTAGGATGCCAGCCTAAAACAGGTGAAACAGCACAGCCTCACAGAAGGAGCAGGTTGGCCTTGAGAATTAGATGGTGAATTATACCACAGAAGACACTGCAGACAAAAGTGACCAGAGAGAAAAGTTAGACTTTCATGAGCCAGGAGTGCAGAGGGACAGCAACAGATCTCAGGGGAAGGCAGCACAGACCTTATAGTGATCACTATGAGTCAGAACAAAATTAACCTTCAGCAAGAAAAAATGACCACAACAAACTGAGAATTCTACTACTGAACACCTCAACTGTGCTTAAATATAGATTCACTTTCTTCAGCACGAAAGTAAAACTTATTGCTATTTCTGTTCAACTCAGGTGTCACATTTTGTCCAAGAGTCCCTGCTAATCCACAAATGTCTCACATGGTTTAGATATTTCATAATCTATAACTCATTTACCCTGAGCACATCAAGGACTTTGTCCTGAGCTCCTTCCACTATGCTTCTTGAAAAAAAAAAAAAAAATCTCAGGCTCCAAAGAGTTATAGTCAGCTGGCCCCACTTAACCCCAAATTTCTTACCAGCTGGTACTGGCGGTTGTATAAGTCATGGCAGTTGTTGAAGATATACTCATATGTGGAGTTCAAACAGGCCTTCACACAATCCTTTACCACCTGGCTGGCTCTTGGAGGGCTCTGCAGTTCTTGTACCTGTTGATTGATAGAAGAAATACAGGCTCAGGGTCCTGCTTACCTATGTATGATATCCTCCCCAGCATTCCCCAAACCCACTACAGAGTCTTCCATTCATTTCTGTGTTCCTAGACCTTGCTCTGTGATGAAATTGCCAGGAAAACTGATGGGGAGAATTTACAACTCATCCTTGTTTTCCTACTGTCTATGTACTCTCTCAGAAGTAACCCAGGGAACAGATGTATGGAAATGTAAGCTTAGAGAATCCTGTATCCACCAGCTCTGCCCAGTGATTCTTACTCTCCTGTGGTCACATCTTCAGCCTAGCAAATTAGCCCAGTTCATCCTTACCTTCATTCTGAAGAAAGTAATGCTGGTCAGCAAATCCACTGTGGATTTTAAATCCTGAAGCCGCTCAGGGCTCCCAGCAGGGAAATTATTCTGTTACAAATCAAGCAAATGTAAGAGAGGAACAGAGGAATATGAAAATTTTATCTGCCAAAATTCAATCAAAAGTAACCTACTGAGATTTTCTATAGTTGAGCTGGGCAAAACAAACAAACAAACAAACAAACAAACAAACAAACAAAACCCTGTGATATTAGAGGTCTCCCTCTTTCTTTTCAAGAACCTAAAGACAGGTCCTTCCCCAAAACAGAGATTAATACTCCACAGCTCAGAAAGCAACACGTCCTTCCCACAATCCTACATTCCATGCAATGTTTTTGTTCAAATGAACACCCCCCCCACCCCCACAAACACACACACACACAGTTTTCATGGATGAAGGTTCTTACACCCAGTGAGTTCTTCAAAAATTACAATCTAACTGTATATCCTGGAATATAAGTGTAGTCCCACTACATTAAGGTCAATCTGAGATCTAGGACCTGTACTTTCATACAGTAGACCCTATCTCTTCTACTATTCTGGAGCCAGATGGTAGAGTTCTGAGCAGAACTTCTTTGGAGTGAGATCCTTAGGATTTTCCTGCATGCCTTACTTCATTCCTTTTGGAATACGTTTTAGAAGAAGCTGCATGCAGGAGTGAAAGGAGGCAATGACTCTCCACTTTAAGAGTCTGTTTGTTTGTTTTGTTTTTGTTTTTTGATACTAGGAAATGAACCCAGAGGTACTTTACCATACTGAGCTACATTCCCAGTCCTTTTTATTTTTAGTTTTGTGAGATCCTGCTAAGTTGCTGAGGCTGGCCTGGAACTTGTAAATTTCCCAACCCAGCCTTGTGAGTTGCTGATGATGAGCCACCGTGTCTGGTTCACAAGGGTCAGTTTTAAAACTTCTGAATGGCTACTTATATGCCAAAAATAAGATATACAGTCATCTCCCCATTATTTTTGCAAATGAAGGACACTGGAAGTACATATAAAACCTCACTTTTTTAAAAAGTTTTTTTTGAGGTTGTTTTTGTACTTACTTTTTAATGTGTGTACAATGCCTTCTCTGTAAATTCACAACATTTAAAGTGAGTAATAAATCCAGTCTAAAAAGATGTAACTTAGGAGGAGCTGAAAAAAAACCCATTTCCTTTTCCTGCCCCATCCAATATATCCACCTTCCTACTACAACTATTTCCTCCCTCCATCCTAGGCATGGATATGACGTCACTCTGATACAAATTACTTGCCCATGCCAAGCTACTTTTTTCCCCCCAAATGACCTTCTCATGCTTCCCCTGAAAAATGAGGAAAGTATGACAGGCTTCCCTATGTTACTCATACAGGCCTCAGACTCAAGATCCTTCTGCCTTAATCTCCCAAGTAGCTGGGATTACAAGTATGTACCACCTAACCTGACAAGTTCATAATTTTTTAAAGGACACTTTTAGAAGAGATTATCTTCAGGAAACTCTCTAATGGGAATGTTATCAGAGAGTCTATAGAATAATGTTAAGTTGTGTTGGAAAGCCAACTGTCTGTAACAAACAACCTGATTTTATAAACTTCATGGTCCTTGGAGTTAGGAGAACCACAGCTGTCAGTAATACTGGCCACCCAGGAGGGTGTGATGACAGACCAATTTTTCCTGTTTTCAGCCTTTATAACCAAGATTGGCCTATGTCTCTCTACTGAATTTGATATTATCTATCATCCCACCTCACTGCCATGTCTTCACTTACTCTGTATGTAGAGAGGTCTATCCTCAGTGAGTTGTGCAGCTGGTCCAGAAGTTTTACAAATCTCTCTTTCTGAGGGTGAAAAACAAATATTGAGGAAAAGAGAGAAAATCTATTCCAGAGACCCCTAAACTACATCAGAAATAGAACTATTTCTGGGTGAGTAGACAGGGTATGGAGGAGACATCTGGCTGGCAACATTTCCTACCCCATCTCTGCCCATGGGGAGAACAAACAATGTAAAGGAAAAAGAAGAGGGGTGGTGGTTCCTTTCCCATTTCTTAGCTGTTTTGTCTCAAACTATGGAATCTTCTCACACTGATGAGGGGAAAGTCAAGTCCCTGGAAGGGGAAACATCCCTTTCTATATCCAAGTTGACAGGACATTACTCGTGTATTTCTGTATCAGTCAGATAAAAAAAAAAAAAATGTCAAGCACATTCTCCAACTTGTTCCTGAGTTCTGAGGTCTCTTGACTTATCTTGGGATAATGCATAGCAATTATATAGCCATAGCCTAGCAGTGAAGATGGAAGATATAAATGGTGAGGCATTTAGAAGACAGTCAGACATGAGGAGTCTCTTTTTATTTTTGGGTACTGGGGATTGAACCCAGGGGCCTTAACCACTGAGTCACATCCCCAGCCCTTTTATTTTTTATTCTGAAACAGGCTTTGAAGTTGTGATCCTCCTGCCCTAGCCTCCTAAGTTGCTGGGATTACAGGTCTGTGCACCACTGTTCCTGGGAAGGGGTCTCTTTTTAAACAACTTTCTAATTTACCTTAATGTATAATTTTTAATTGTTAATTATATAATACATACTATTTTAATATTGATTTTCATAGAAAAAGTATAATTTAGTGTAGGATCATGTACTTGAAAGCTGTACACAGAATTTTTAGTACTCATGTTAATTATATGTTTAGATATAGATATTGATTATGTCAATTCATGATGGAATGAGACAAAATGAAATATATTTGAATGGTTTAATCAATTACATCAATTCACCTACAGAAAGAACCTATCAACAATAACAAAAAAAAAAGTGATTAGTATCAAAAAGCAGGGCTCATGGACTCAATAGATGGGACAATATAAGCAATTTTATCCCTACAAAGGGACCTTCTGTGATGGGTCAAAAATATTTCTTCTGGTTTATAGCAAATTTATGTCAGGTGACATTATGAGTTAATGATTCAACTTCTCTGGTACTTTAACCCAGAAGAACATAACCTGGAAAGGGAAAATAGTCCAGCTACACACTGTCATCCTCACTTAAGACATCATCAGCCTTATATAATCGTAAAAGATTTAACTCTGATGCAGAGACTAAATAATATTAAGAAAGGTCCATTTGTGGACCTGTAAGACTGAAAAACATGGTGACTTAGCCAAGTTGTTAACCCAGAGAGTTCTGTCTGAGACCAAGTAGCAATCCTGCTAACACTACAGTGGTGCTATCATTTATCTGTGTCTGAGCCTAGTCAATTAATATAATCTACATATCCATAAGGAAAGAAGTTTCATCTATTAAGGTGGCAACTACCTGGGCTGGGGTTGTGGCTCAGTGGTAGAGCACTCACCTAGCACGTGCAAGGACCTGGGTTTGATCCTCAGCATCACATAAAAATAAATAAATAAAACAAAGGTATTGTGCCCAATTACAACTAAAAAATAAATATTAAAAAAAGGTGGCAACTACCTGAATTTTAGGCATTGACTCTACATAACTGGCTAGGAAAAATCAAATTTTTATTAATTGATAACAAATAGGCTTATTATGTGTTTATATCACACTCACCCCAAAGTTGGAGGCTGCAAAGCGGTCAGATGCAGAGACATTGGTAGAGGCGGTTGTGTGGGCATAGTAGGCATTGATGTTGGCCAGTAAGGTGCTCATCACTGCTGGCACACCAGGACACATGTATTTGGATGACAAACATGCAAAATGCCTGAAAAACACAACATCTTCATTCTCAAAGACTCTGCAGAGCTTGCAGCAAAAGCCAAGTAGAAATTCAATAAGGTTGTGAAATCAATGATGCATAGCCAGGGAGATCTTTGCTTATACAGGGCTGCTTCCTGTGTACAGCTCTAGGGGTAGGCTCACCAATACTTCTCACAACATCAATTATGAACTCCTATTAAGGGAGTCCAGGTTGACTCTGCACACAACTGCTTTCCCTATAGTTTAGTGTCCTCTTCAACTCCCAGGCCAGTCTAGGTCAGCTTGTTGGTCACCCCCACATATATATGACGATACACATGCCCTGTCTATTCAGGCCTGTAATGTCTGGGCAGATGTGTGCTTGCATTCCCTCTTATGCCTTTTTCCATTCCAATTCCTGAATTTGGGAGTAGACAGATAAATACCTTCTTTGAGATACAAACACACTTCCTTTCTTTGCCTTGAGGCATAGAGTGAACTAAAACATCCTTGCATACTACCCCACACTAAACACCTGTCCACCACATCCTTTTTCCTATAGCCACCCCAAGAATAAGTAGTCAATTCCCAGAGCCCCAGGAGAGCCTTACGTCATAGCCTGATATATGGACTCAATGCCATAGCGCATGGCAAATTCATCCACAATTTCTTGGGCTGTCTCATCAAAGTACACCTTCCATGCATCATCTCCTCGAGCCTCAGGAATCTGGACTCCTCCACTACCCTGAATGTCTGTGAGATAATGGAAAAGGTTCTGTAGGAAACGGAACAGAGAAAAGGAAAGAATTTTTATTGAGATTAAAAAAAAAAAAAGCAAAACCAAAAACTACTGATAAAGTCCAAGAGAATGTTAATAGGATCCTTAGTAATTCTGTCCTTTGAGTTACTGCTTGGTGCCTCCTGAGGCCCTAGCAGGTTGTTCTCACATTAGTAAAAGAGAACTGAGTCTAGGCTCCATCCCTCCCTCAGCCTTCCTGTATAGCACAGAAAGCCAAGGAATAAATGAAAAACAATCTCCAGATCCTCAACCATCTAGCAATCCTCAATGGTTCCTCACTGTTTTCTAGCCCCAGCACACCTCCACACACCTACAAAGGGCTGGCTCACCTCATGGAGGCATGTATACTGCACATGGTACGGGGCTACCTTCTCCTCCCCCTTGATCTCCACATTGATCTGTAGTCGAATAGCTCCCGAGACGGCTGATTTGTCTGTCCTCTTCTCTAAGGATGAAAGAAGACTGGAGATTAACACCAATACAACTACAGACAGTGCAAACAGCCCCATTCTGGCTTAACCCAGGGAAAAAATGGCAAGAACCTAGGAATTTTCCCAATAGGGTGAACTTACTATAGTGACCATACAGTCCACAAATACCCCTATACTAGCTAGATAAGAGAACAGAAGTAGTTAGGAAGTTAAAGGCATTAGGGATGAGAATGAAGACTAAAGGGCCTTCAGCAACCTGGAGAATGTTTAGCCAGAGTGAGTTCCTACCACCACAACTTCCCTATCATCCATTCCTACCCACAGTCAGCTCTCTGAAGATAGGACAGCTTCTGTAGAGAGATATGCTTTGGGGATTAGTGATTTGGTAGATGGGAGATTTGCCCAAATTCCCTTTTGTGCCCTCCTTTCCTAGCAACTTCTTCTGGTCTGGTTTCCTCACCCAGATTGTACCAGACATCCATCTCGCCACTCAGTGTCCGAACCTCGATGATGGTTTGGCCAAGGAAATCATCAGACTCTCGCTTTAGCCGCTGCTTTACTCTTGATTTGATGTCATCATCCTCATCCCACACACGTACCTTAATGCGGTCAGAGGAGTTATGGCACTCACTGTAAGAGATTTAGGCAGGCTCTGTTAGGGAAAGACCCAGTATCACCACTCCTATCACTTCAAATTCCCTCCCAAAAGGTCCATCAACTGTATTTCAGAGCCTGAAAGAGCAAGAGGAGTCAGGGGCCAGTGATACTAAAGTTCCCAGCTATCCCTTAGCTTGAGTAGTTGTGTGAGTCATTATCTAGTCCTTATTACCTTGAAACAAAGAAGGAGAATGAGTAATCAGGGTCAATTTTTACTTCCTCTGCAGTGCTCTTAGCAATACTAACAGGACAATAGCTAGACATGCCAGAAACCTAGGAAGCAACTACTTTGCTCCCTCCCCAGCTCTGAGACACGAAGTCAGTAAAGGTGCTAGATGTTTTCAGTGGGTCCATCTTATCTGCTTGTTATCTCTCTATGTAAATCCTCCATCTTTTCAACTATGTGCCTGGTGAACTTCTATTTTCCTTTATTATTCCCTTGAATCACCATCTCCTCTATGGTGTTTGCTTTGGATAAGGGAACTGCCCAGGTTCCAATCCTGTTCTCTTCCCCAGAAATTGTTTTCTGGATCCTGTTCTCTCACCCAAAAGTTGTACTCAGTAGACTTTGCTGTTTCTTTTTCTATGTTCTTATAATATCTTTTCACATTTCTGTTAAAATATTTCAGTGTAACTACTGCTGTACTGAAAAATAATGGACCAATCAACATTGAGCTTCTTGAAACCAGGGAGCGTCTTGTTCACTTTGATACACACAACGGTGTAGAGGGTCTTATACAGAATAGGAACTTAAGTTTATTTACTAAAAGTGTGCAAAAATGACCACAGAGCCAATTCACTTAAAATTAGTCATAGAGTCAAGTCCTGTTACACTGAAATATTTTAACAGAAATGTGAAAAGATATTATAAGAACATAGAAAAAGAAACAGCAAAGTCTACTGAGTACAACTTTTGGGTGAGAGAACAGGATCCAGAAAACAACTCATTCAGATTCTCAAAGAAATGGTTGCTTCTTCCAGAAACTGTTGCCCTGGATTAGAGATTAATTTTACACCACAATTCTCTTCCACACAAATTCTATGAGGAGTCAACAGAAGATGGCTTCTACATAGCCATCTTCTTAGCTGATTCAGATCCAAAGTCCTGATCCCTTGGCATTAAAAGTGGGAAGAGGAAGCATCTGGATTCTCCAGATATTAGTCCAACTCCTAGGCCAGAGTTCACTATTTTTCAAAATCAACCTTTACTGTCATATAAAATAAACTATAAAAAAATGAGTTAATGGAAAAAGAAAGGAGGTGAAAGCTGAGACAGGAAGAAAAGTTTCCCTGAAGGGAAACGGAAACTTCTCCAGACCCCAGATTTCCATCTTCAAGTCAGCATTATCCAGTTACAGGACAAGGACATTCTTTCCTCACTCCTTAGAACAACCCAAACCTAGCTAAGTAGGGCAGCACACATCTGTAATCCCAGTACTCAGGAGGCTGAGAAAGGAGGATCACAAGTTTGAGGCCAGCTTCAGCAATTTAGTGAGGACCTAAGCAACTTTTTAGTGAGATACTGCCTCAAAATAAAAAATAAAAAGGACTGAGGACATAACTCATTAAATGCCCATTGGTTCAATCCTCAGTGTCCAAAAAAAAAAAAGGAAAAAAGAAAGAAAGCCCAACCCTTCCTAGACAGGGTGACATGGCTGGAAAGTACAACAGGGTAGTTAGAAAAAGAAAAATGGGGTACCCAGAGGTCTCATAAATAGCTCAGTTAAGAAAAGGTATGGGCAAAGTGCTATGTCTAGACAAAGAATGGCTGCTGCCCAAGTGAGGAATGTGGGAAATGGGATTTCTTCACTGCCTTTGCCTCTTCCCAGGACTCAGAAAAGCAGGATGTAATGTTGCTTCTAAAATACACAGTCTCAGGTAAAACAAAACCCTCTGTAACTTACAAATGGAACTTCTCCTCCCAAACAGGATTCAAGTTTCCAAAAATGGTCTTGGTACGCTTCTTGGTTTTACCAACTTGCACAGTCACATAAGGGTCACTGGATCCTGTTTTATCCTTGGCTTGTAAGCCCTGGGCACACACCACTGCAACCCAAGCACATACAGGGGGCTTCAGATTAGACTTCAGAGTAAGTGAGGAGCCCTCACTCATAGGCTCTTCCCTTAGAGCAGCCTCTCTCTTCCTATGCTCCTCCATAGCTATATGTAGTCTTGGGCCACTGCCTTTCTCTTAAAAACTAGCCCTAACAATTCCAGCTCCCTACCAAAACCCTAAATAAATAAAAATTTACCCCTCACTGCTACATCCCTCTAATGTAAGCATGCTTCAGTTCCACTAACCTGGTTAATAAATTACTAGTTAACTGTTCCCTGGTCACCTATCTCTCTCCTCCTCCCATCTTGAGCTCTTATAATATCAAACTGCTAACCAAGTGGACAGTGTCAGGGTATCATAATACAAATCCTTGTATTATGGTTCACATGGTTTGGAATTGCCAATCTTGCCTCTTCCAGCACTGACTGAGTCTAGATGAGGAGGAGTATTAAATAATGAGGCTCTCCCTCTTCCCCTTAGTTCTATCTTCTTTCCCCCCATTCACTTGCTCCCTCATACTCAAGATGCTTCTTCCCCAGACTCCTCCCCATAGCCCTGGAATCCCTGTCCCCTCCAATTTTTGCCAGCTCACCAGTGATGGTAATCTTGGCTGACCATTTAGAAGTGCCATCCAGTACACTCTGTTTCACTGTTTTCATCTGCTGCACGTGGGCTACTTTGCTCACTGTGAAGACATCCCTGATAACTTCAAAGATCTCCGGCTTATTTCGCTCTCGGATCTTCATGCGGTCCTTCATGGCCATGATAATGTTCTGTGTCCGGTCCTCAGCTCCATGTTTAGAGCTCTTTTCTGCAGCCCCTGAAAGATGACCAGATAGAAAGCAGGATTAACCAACAGACCACCTACTAGACCAAGTTTGAGCTGAGGAACAGTGCCTGGGCGAAGATGTGTAGCAGTGGGAGAAGCATAGGGAGACTGGAATATCTCTGGGAAGAGCCAATCACTATGGGGCCTGCTGCTTGGCCAGTGGGGCCTGCTGCTTAGCCAGTGGAATCTGCAACTCAAAGGGTAGCAAAATCTGGATAATTGTGATGGGGATTCATTTACTATTCATTTGTATATATAGGTAAAATTTTCATCAACTCTCCAACTCAAAATAACACCAACAGATGTCTGAGTTATCAGGGAATGGTGGTGGATGAGCTTAACACAACCCATCTCATCCATGTCAAGCATGATACAAATCCAAGAACTCAATGTGGCACAAGAGTTGGGCTCTGTCTTATGCCTCCAGTGTGGTATTATAAGAAAAGTATGGCCTTTGGTGTCAGACAGACTTGGGTTCAAGTCCTGGCTCTATCTATCATTCCTAGCTCATGAACTAGTTTTTTTCCTAAGGGGAGATAATGATGTTTATTTCTCAGGGTTGAAATAAGCATTATTTCAGACAGTATATGTAAAAACCTAGCCCAGAGTCTGGCATCTACAGGTACTCAATAAATGGTCACTATGATTATTTTTCCCTTTTTCTACTACAATCCTTAAAGTTTTCAATACTATGGCTTGGTTCTGGGTAACACCTGGGAAAACTGAAGGAGGAGGAGAATACTTTCCAACCTCCCGCTCCCCTGATTTTTCTGGGACCCAGCAACAGCTAGTACTAGTCTGGCAGAAGGGGAGCAGGGAGACAGAAGCTTTGGGCAATACAACTTCCCCTGACAGGAGCTAGCAGTTTTCCTGTTCCCATTCTCCCCACTCCTCATGATAATACAAGTCACATATATAGTTTCTCTTGGGAGACTGACACACTGTCTTGGACAATAGACTCCATCTATTGAAATTTCTATTCTATTGTCTAAAATCTCAATCTACACACAAGGAGTAAATGATTCCTTTTGTGGGTTATAGGATTTAGACCTCAGGAAGTTCCTCTGTGAAGCCTGGAACCTCATGGAACTCACTCTCTCTTCTTATTAGTTTTAGTCCCTGATTAAACAAGTTCTAGTCATTTAGGAAATAAGGCTACTGTATATACTATTCAAGTTTAGTCTCTAGGATCAATTCAATCCTGGAAGAGATTCTAGCTGTCAAAAGAATACAGAAAGCTCAAAGAATTTTTGCTAAAGGTGCTTAAGAGGGTACTATAAGATTTGTTATCTGGAAAGGAATCACCCCTTGAGTTTGTACCCTACCTTCTCTGAAAAGAATCAGATGGACTGGTGGTTCAGCCAATATAACTCTCCACTGCAAACTATTTTGCAGAGGCTCTATTGCCCTGACAGTCCAACCCTCATCCCACAGGGGCACTCACGCTGCAGGCAGTCGGCGTTGAGCAGGTCCTGGCACTTCTCATGACACTTGACCCCACACTGGCTGCAGCGCATGCCTTGCCGGGCAATGCCCCAGAGTAGGCCTTCACATTCATAGCAGTAGGTCGGGGTGGTAGCTGACCAGACTTCAAAGTTGTGTGGTGTGGTACATGAGATGGGGTAGATTAAGGCCTGCAGGGTTTTCTTATATACATGGGATTTCTGAAAAATACACACCCAATTATCCACCTGTGATTTTAGGACTCTGCGGGGAGATGCCAGAAAGGAGAATCTGTGGGACAATCAGGACCCTGGTTTTTCCTCTGGCAATGGAAAAGATATGATAGCCTGGCCTAGCCCATAGCCCAGCCTAGCTGAAAGAAGCTCTGAATATAGTGTGTTCCTGGTCATCTAACACAGGTTAGACCTGATGCTGGGTCTGAGCCTTATCCTAACATTCACGCTTTCTGGGGAAACGGAGGGTACTAGGCCTACCATAAAATCCAAGTTCGGTTGTCAACCCTTCAAAATGAGACTCTAGTCTGGTCTGCCTCTCCCCTTATAGAAAACTGGGACTTATTGCTATCAATATGTTTCATCAGAAATGTGTGCCATATACTCTTGAATGCCCAGTTAGCACAGCCACACCAGAGATGATCACCAGTCCTGAGGCCAGTGAACTTGTGAAAGCCCATGGGTCACTTACCAGCTCTTCATCCTTAAGAGAGGTACGTGTAGCCATTGCAGAAGTAATCCCTGCCTTCCGTGACTGGACCAGTGACTGTGAGAGAAGACTTGATGTCAGCCCTGGCCATGACCAAGAGCTGGCAAAGCCCCAGGGAAGGAGCTTCAGTGACCAAAGTCACTTGACTATCACTCCATTCTATTTTCACTGTCACTCACAAGTACTGCCCCTGGGCAACAGGTAACAAGTATCTCAAGGCCAGCAGGAGACTGTTCTAACAATGTCAGAAACAGCACTTCCTTCAGGACATCCACAATCAAAAGGATTTCTCCTTCTCTCACTATCTTTAGGTATCCTACCCCACAGAAACTCCTTGTTTATATGAAGGCAAAGGAAAATGAAAAGCTTAGAATGATAGAAGGAAACAAGTTATAAGAATAAGAGAGGCACACAATTCTGTCAGAGTCACATTCAATGACTATCACTAGAAACAATGATTCTACGCTAACCCCCATTCCCTGGTACCTCCCCATGCCCAGTCCTTGGGGAACTATAGAGGCTAGCAGCCCAAATGATCAGGGCACTTGGCAAGGAAAAGGGCAATGCAGTCTCAGTCAAATCCAGCAGGCAAAGAGTTAGGTCTGAAAGCCAAGGCTGTCTTGTTAGCCAGGCTCTTGAGTAAAGGGATCCCTTGTGTCTGCCAAGCCTACCCTTTAGGGGGGCAGCTCCTGAGACACCTGGTTTCCTTAAGGCAGTGGGCACTGGGCAGACACAAATCATCGTATCAGGCTAAGCAAAAAATCAGCTGGGAGGGGCCCAAGTGATTTGGGATATGGACTCAGAGGACAGGGAGGGGCTCTGGAGACACTCACCATAGCCTGCACCGAGGAGAGCAGAGAAAGGAATAACATGATGTTAAAGCCCCCAAGGGCCTGAATACTTTCAGAGGCAACTGAGAGATCAGTCCCCATAGTATAAAGTGGGAAAAATGTCCCAACCCCATCTGTCTCTATCCAGTTCAGCCCAGACAGCTGACCAGGGCCCAGGGCCTAGAGCTCCTACTCTAGAGTTAAGCCACAATAAAAGACAGACAAGGGTAAAAGATAGAGTAGTAAAAATGAGACATGAGCTAGATACTTGCTGGTAGGTAAGGAGGGAACAGAGGATAAGAAAAAAGAAAAGAAAGATGGGATGAGAAATAATAAAGTAGGGAGGATGGTAATAAAGAAATGACATCAGATTTTACCTTCATCTGGCTAGATAATGGAAGAACAAGAGGGGAAAAAAGAGAAAGAAGATACATAAATGATAGAAAATAAAGGAAAGAAAGAAGAGAAAAATATCAAATGACACTTTCATTCAGCCAGCTAAGGAGGAAGAAACCAAGGGAGAAAAAGAACATGGAATGGAGAAGAAAGAAAAGGAGTGAATAGAAAAAAACAGAATGGATAGAATAGGGAGAAAAAAGGGAAGAACCAGGAACAGTAAATGGAAATAAGGAAATGGTTTAGATCTTACTAAATCTGAACCCTTATACTTTATATTGAGCTTTAGGACTCTGGGACTCTGAGACCACCTGGGTTCTCCCCTACCCCTGTGACCCACAGACTATACAAAATTCCTTGAGCTGATCCTGCCTCAGAATGTACGACATGGAGTGGGAGCTTCTGGTTATCCTAGAGGTCCCAAGATTAACTTTAACTTTTACATCTATTGCAATATAATCCTACAAATGTTTATCATTTCCTCTCAGTGCCAGACATTCAGTTAACAGAGAGAGTCTACAAAGTTTATATCTTAGGATGACTTTCTGTTGACTTCCAGAAAGCTCCAGTCACGCTCATCACATATACGCTCAATAATCCAGATGAAGGGCTAGAGGCAGTTTACAACCCAGGACATCAAAGAGAGCTATAGAGATTTCTAGAGGATTAAGAGACCTAAAGAAAGACCCCAGAGTCCAGCTCTGAAGGTCTGAGCCACAAATGTTCCAGGCAGGAGCTTGACCTACTAAGGTGCCTGGAGCTCTATGGAGTGAGGCATAACAAGGTCCCCTTGAAGCTATTATAAAGTCTCAGGAAGGTTCTAAATGAATAATCATCATAACCAATGATGATCTGATCTGGAACACTAAATGGACCATTTCCAATTCTGATAGCTTGCCAAGATCCAATGAAGATTACCCCAAGGATACTGCCTAATCTTACACACGAGTCTTCACTCACCAGATCACTGACAAGTGGCAATGGCTTTTTTCTGCGTAGGTCTGGCATGCTGTCAATGCCATAGAGCCCTCCAGCTGGCCTGAGGAAGGAAGGAAATGTGTTAGGACCTTCAGCTCTGACTTGAGTTACTAGCAGGTTCAGAGTTCCATTCTCCTTTATCTCCTCTCCCCAGAGGAAGATGAACCTTCATCATGTGCTTTCAAAAGGATAAAGGAAGACAGTAAGTAAGGGAGATAAAGCCACAGAAGGAGCAATGGAATATACTCTTAGAATGTCATTAAGGGTCTCATGTGGTTTTAAGCAAGGACTGAGAGCTCCTTTATCCTACTGGAATAATTAAGATATATCTGTTTATTTGAAGGTACTTGTGCTTCTGAAAGCAAGTTAGAAATTGGTGGTCAAGAGGACTCCTGCTCACACAGAGGCCAAAGACACTGTTCTCCAAACTCTTGTTTCTACAGAAGGAGCCTACTGCCAATGTAAGCAAGACTATCAAACAATGACATACAGAATGAGACCCTCTTTATCCAAGAGTAAATGAATCATCAGTTCCGTCTACTGAGTCTCCTTTAAAAAAAGGGGGAGGGGGGCTCTCCATTGAGAGAGAAGCTCTCCTAATCAAATTGAAGCAGGTGGGGGGGGGATGGAAAATTACCAAAATACCATTTGGTGTGGGTGGTGGGAAAGTTCCACTTAGGAAGAACAGCAAAGGGACTCTGAGAGTCTGGCCTAGTCCTGTGGACACATTAACAGAGACTAGAAAATATTATGGCTAGAGGAACTGTAAATTTCTAAAATTTGTATACTTCACTATACATATTAATTTTGTTATTTGTGTGTTCTTTCATAACTATATGCAATAAAAACAGAATGTTGCCAACAGAACATCAATCTTACATTGAGATAACCTGGATTTTAGTTCCAACTCTCCTAATTCCCTATAAATCTTCTGCCAATACTCCTTCTTCTCTCTGGGTCTTGGTGTCACTTCCATAAAATGAGGTGGATAGGTTACAAAATTTCTCTGGCCTTTTGGATGCTGAAACTCTGATCCTCAATGAAAAGAACTCATATACTTAGTTTCAATGAAGCAATAAGGAAGGCAGGGAAGCTGGGCTAGAAACTGCTGGTTTAAAAAAAGTCTCATAAGAATAAGCAGGTACTTCAAGCAATATGGGCAAATAATGGAGCCACAAAATGGGTCAAGGCCAGGAGCTGGAATGGTCAACTCAATATGTTAATTTCTAGTAAACTAGCTCCCTGGGCATTAGCAATGGACTTTGTTTTTAATGAAATTACCAGTCCAAGGGAAGTTCTATACTTGTGACAGTTTCTAAGGATTATGCTGAAGGAAAGAGAAGACAAAAGGGAATTTTTAGAAAACCTTTACATGGTTCCATTTAAGAATAAGTTTGAATATGTTCTATTGGCATGGGTATTAGAATTATTAGAAGAAAAAAAAAACAAAGTTCACTGAAGAAGAAACTGCTGCCACAAGCTTAGAACTAATTCTAAAAATGATAATATGTACCACTTAAGCCAAGAAGTTTTGCAACATAAATGATCTTTTGAAAGAGAGACAGAGGTAGCTCATTCACCTGATTTGACTCTTGATTTTAAAAAAGACCAATCACGGGGCTGGGGCTGGGGCTCAGTGGAAGCGCACTTGCCTAGCATGTGTGAGGCACTGGGTTTGATTCTCAGCACCACATAAAAATAAATAAACAAAATAAAGGTCTATCAACAACTAAAAAAGTATTTTAAAAAAAGACCAGCCACAAAATAAGAAGTATGTAAAAATATAGTAGAGGGCTGGGGATATAGCTCAGTGGCAGAAAACTTGCCTAGCATATGTGAGGCCCAGGGTTTGATTCCCAAAACTGGAAAGAAAAAGAGAAACAAAGAAATAACAAAAGAACGAACTAGATAATTTTATGATCTGATGTTCTTCCGTGCACAGAAAAGAGGAGGTAATTACTGAGAATTCAGATGCCAGAAGCCTTTGTAGGGAAAAGGGAAAAGGAAGGTCAGAAAACTAATTGGCAGTGTATGTCGGGGAGAGTGAGGCCCCGGGAGGCATTTAAACTCTTCTCTCTCCTAAGAACAGTCAGTCAGTCACAGGCAGCAGTCCAGAAGCTTAAAATGACTCTCTGGTGCAGTCACATGAGCCTGAAATTCCCAGACAAGAAGCACAGACTGCACACACAGAGCTCAGAAGGGATGTGACTTAGTCTTGACTACAGTGGAATGGAATAAGCAGGTGACTCACAACAGCTGAAGCCCAGGGAGTACTCTAATCAGCTGTACCATCAACAATGAAATGGAAAGAAAGTGTTTCCAAATGCTGGTTTTCCCCCCTAATGTCCTCATTTTTAAAATAAAAAGTATATCACCACTCTGATTCAATGGATCAGCAATCAGAGAGGCAAGGATGGGAGAGTCCCAAAGCTCCCTCCCCTATCCCAGGGAATTCACAGCAAAGCTCCCTCTTCTGCCTTTAAGAATCAGCAGTTCTCTCTCTTGTCCCAGGGAACCAATCTACGGTGGAAACTTTTCCCTCCCTAGGGTCCAGCTTATGGAGCTGCCTCCACTATTTCCCAAGGGAAAAGCTAAACGCAGAGAGAGGCAGCATATAATCCATAGAAAACTTGTATGGAATCACTTACCCTTCTGGAAGCCACTGAGACAGAGAAGGGTCACCATCATCTGGAATCTTTTAAAAGAGAAAAACATGTTAGATCCTAGGAAAGAAGGGGCATTCAACACATAGCGATATAGCCAGCCTGATTCTAAGCCAATAATCTATCATCTGAGTCAACGGACTGCTGAAATGAACAGTACTTCTTTTCCTTCTCCCCAGTGAATGGTAATGATACAAGGCCAATCCCACTGAGATTCCAGGGCTAAGGTCCACTGGGAATGTGAGAGCTGCTGGAACTCACCAGTCAAGCCACTGCTATTGACAGTAGTAGTCCAAGACCAAGAGAAGGGCATTCTTAGGCTTCCAGGTCTCACTAAAGCAAAAGGGCAACTTCATATAGAGCTGAGTCTTCTTCCAGCTACATTAGCTCTTTTGGCTAAACAAGAAGTCAATCTAGTCTTTCTAGATTCCCATCTCAACTTGTGATTTGACAGTTTGGGTTCCTTGAAGCCCTAACTCACTGATACTGAGTACTCAAGTATAGTAAAAGCCCAGGGCAAATTAGACTCTTGGGTTATCATTCTGGTAAATTTTATAGGTCCAAGAATATAAAGTTGAAAACTGAGGTACCAAATCAAGGAATGAACAGTTAAAAAGCACTTGTTAAAGGTTTTTGCACAAAACAAAACAAGCCAAGTCTTTCAAGCAGTGCAGAGAAAAGAGTTTCAAAGCTGCCAGGGCACTCCAGAGAATCAATGGCACATGATTTTCTGGCACAAGAAATCTAGTGCTAGCAGGTCTGGGGCTTCTTGCCCATTCTTGTTCCCCTCCACCACAACAACTTCCCTTTCCTCCTAACTTCCCTAGAGCAAACAAGCTCCAGAAGGAAGGAAGAAGTAAGCTGCTTAATTTTGGATGGGGCAGGGGGTAGATGGGTGGGTACATGTTTGGGGACAGCTAAAGAAGGGAGAAGTTATGGATTGGATCGAATGAGGCAAGACAGAACAAAATAGAGAGAGATAGGGCAGGGCTAACAAGAGATGGAAAGGTGGGCAAGTAGGATGGATCAATACTAGGCTCAGATTTGAGTTTTTAATTTAGGCCAATTCCTAGTAAGATGCTTCTTACATTGTCTATGCTTTAAATCAAGCTTATCTGTCTACTGCCCACACTCTTATTTCACCTCTGCTGCCTATCCTGGTTGTGAGTTGTGATACTGGTAACAAGAGGGTCAGGCCTAAAGGCATCCAGAAGTGGCTGAAGCAAAAGACAATGGGTACAACAGAAGAAACAAAAGTAGGTGTGAAATAATGTTTGTTCCTAAGGCTGCTTGGGGACAAGGGCAGGTGCCGGGCATCAGGTGAGCCCTTCTCTAAATCCCCAGATCCTACCAACCAGAACTGATCTTCCCTTTAAAAACAGCTGCTGTACTGAGCAGACTCTTATTTTCTTTTTAATTCTCAGAATCAACATCTGCCAAAACTATTAGGCTTAAGAAAACAAAGTCACAAGAAGTCTTTGCAAGCCAGGGCCAGATCATGTGCATTTCCTGTGCTCAGAAGGGACAATAGTCCACAGAAGCACACAACATGCACACACAGCACACTGAAGGAAGGAAGGGAGTGGGAGGAGGTCTAGACAAAGTACTTATAGGAGGTATATTCATGGACACAACTTGCACCTGAAGGAAACAAGGTGAGCATGAATCCTGAGTTTATGGCTTCAGAACATGTGCACAAACACATCTGAGGAAGATTCACAGTGTTCACTGGGGCCCAAGTAACAGGCAAAGCAAACCCTCACTAAATTCAAGAGCCAATGCTGACAGGCAAGAAGCATTAGTATAATATGCATTCACAAGGCTTCGGGGAACCACACACAGTCTACTGGAAGCTTGTGCCCAGGGAGAGGTCAGGAAGCCTGCTCAGAAACACAAAGCAATTTCACACTTAGGGCCCCAAGCAAAGGGACAAAATGCCTGTGGCAACTTTTGCTCTCAAATACAAAGTATGTGCGCATGCTGGGCTCAGCCAGGGTTTATAGTGTATGCCAGAGTCTGCAGCAACAGGCAGAAAAGAAACACACACTGTGTAGAGTAGGAGGACAATCAGTGTCTGGGGAAGTCGGACTGAGTACAAGTGTAAACACACACATGCTACATTGAATGTGCACCTGTGCCAGTACACACACACATTCTCTCACTGAGCTCCAGGTGTGTCAGCTGGAGCACACATAGCGCGAAGCATGCATACAAACTTCTTTCTGGAAAACAGACTATCTGCATGAGCCACAGCTCAGAGGCACAGATCATGCACACATACATACACACACAGTACTCAGAGGGCAGGGTGGAGAATAGATGCAAAAAGGACCCAAAGGGCCATAGGCACAACCTGAAGGGCTTCTCGCTTTCCTTCTGCAAAGGAGAGAAAGAGCAGGGGGGGAAAGGGGTATAAAGGTTAGTAGATTCAGTCCTATAGCAGGGAACCCAAAGAAAATGCTAGTTAATCCTGAGGAACATGGAGGAGAGGAGAGGACCTCTGGATTTCTGGGCAGGCCAGCGCCCAGCTGACTGGGTCCCAGAATTATTATTATTGTTTCTTTTTACTATTTTTTTTAGTTGTAGATGAATAAAAATTATCTTTATTTATTTTTATGTGGTGCTGAAGATCGAACCCAGTGCCCTGCACACGTGAGACAAGTGCTTTACCACTGACCCAGCTCTGGGTCTCAGAATTTTTACCACCTTTGTTTGCCAGCCTCTGGTTTTTATGTATTTGGGGGGGGGGAATGGGGGGGAGATTAGGGATTTAACCCAGAGACAGTTTACCACTATATCGTCAGCCCTTTTTAATTTTTAATTTTGAGACAGGATCACACTAAGTAGCTTAGAGTCCCACAGAATTGCCAAGGCTGACTCTGAACTTGCAATTCTCCTGTCTCACCCTCCTGAACCAGTGGAATTAGAGAAGTATACCACTGTGCCCAGTATGGCTTCTTATTTTAATATGAACATCCTAGAGACTACTTAAACCAAACAACAAAGTCTGCTTGAGGATTCCACTTGTTGTTTTCCCCTTTGCAAAGTGGTCTGCATTCAGGGTCAGGATTGCCAGGGCCACAAGACCAGGTTTGTTACCAAGAACTATTCCAACAGACTATCTGAGCTACTGAGTCCTACAAAGCCATGTGAGCTTACTCTGGATCTGGAATAAGTCCTCAAATCCCCAAGGCCTGATGGCTGAGCCCTTTCCATTTGGCAATTCAGAGCTGGTCATGCATTTGTCCAGTGAGCCCTAACCTGTTTTCCTAGACCCTTTAAATTAAGAGAGACCAAGGTATGGCCTGGGGTCAAGGTCAGAACCAAGATGCTAAAAGGGTAGAGACCCTGAGGCACTAATTGGCTGTTATCCTAACAAAAGTTGTGGGGGAGCTACCTTGAGTAACCATGCCTTCCAGTCCTGTTGCCAAGGGGACCTGAAAGATCACTGTAGTCTGGCACTGTAGTGCCATGACTCGTGACTCAGTTGTCCCTCACCCCATAGTAAAGAGGTTCTCTTTGTGGGGCGTGCCTCTAGAGTTGAGTTACACTCACCTGTTCCCTTGTAGTCTTGCTCCTTCTGGTCTTTTTTAGATAGAATTTTCTAAGAATAAGAATCTCCCCCGATAAAACCTCACTTTTGAAAGTGTTCCCTCTCTCTTGTCAGCCTCTCATGACTTTCTCTTGCTCTCCCTTTTGGGGAGCCTGAGGCCAAGAGCCAGGGAAGCCATCCTGAAGCTTGTGTAAAGGTAAGTTATGTCTGTGTTTTATTTTCTGTCCCTGCAGATTCACACAAGTGATCTTAATTCAGCTGCCCGCGCTGGTCAGGGGGGTGGCAAAAAGTTGCAGCAATCTGGAAGATTACTATAACCCCAGGTCTGGTAATTTATCAAATCCAGAAAAACTACTTTCTTTTTTTTTGTTTTTGGTACCAGGAAGTGAACCTAGGGACATTTTACCACTAAACTACATTCATCCCCAGTCCTTTTTATTTTTTGAGACAGGGTCTTGCTAAGTTGCTGAGGCTGGCCTTGAACTTGTGAACCTCCTGCCTCAGGCTCCACAACTGCTAGTATTACAGGTGTGCACCACTGTACCCAGCCCAGAACAATACTTTCAAAGGAAAAGGACACTTTCAGAAAGACTCAAGCAAAATATAATAGGAGACAAATAATGTCCAAAGATTATTCCCTTTCTAATCATCAGGGACTTCAGCACCCTCTAGGCCACACATGGAGCTTCCTGATGTAAAGACAGTATACAGATTAAGATTTATAAAACTGTTTTCTATTTCTGAGTCCTTCCTGCTCAGACTAGGTAAAAAGTGTAATTTTGGGCACAACTATAACCAGAATGATCCTAAGTTGTCAGAAATGGGCCCTAGCTGGAGTCAAGGTACAATAAAAGGTTATGCCTTGTTTAGGGTGCTTTGGTTTCCTTAGTTTCTAAATTGCTCATGAGAGCTTTCTCACAATTGTGTGTATAGGCCCCATATAAGCATTCTTCAGAGGACAGGTATACAGGTAAATAAATTCTAGAGATTTTTTTCAAGTGTGTCTACTTTGCTCTGTTCCCACTAGGTTTTGCCCTGGTGTTCACCAGCTGGGGACCCCTGAGAGTGTGAATGTGATCTGCCCTTCTGGCTTCATTGCCCAGGTGACAGCACTAATCCTTCTTCCTGGCAGGGTCAGAGTACGATCTGGAGGAGATTTGGGGGAATTACTGATGTACTCTCTTGTTGCTTCTGTCCTGTGTATCACATTCAGTGCCAACAACTTGGAATATAGCAAGTTGATGGCATAAGCTTTATTTGGTCAATAGCAGTTTGGGACATGACTCCAAAAGCATGGGAAACATAAGCAAACAGACTAGAACAGTTTCAGTTTTAGTGTGTCAACATCCATTTTATCTGAACATTTATCATTAACTTCTTCTAGTGGCTGTTCTAGATAGACAATGGAAACAAAAAGATGAACGAAACAAACAGAGTCCATCAGCTGAGAGGGAATGATGCCAGCTTACCCAGCTGATC